CAACAAATAATGTTCAAAAATGTAATTTTTCCTATATAAACTATAGCCCCCTCCCCATGGGAGAAATGCGCAGAACTACGGTCGTGAAATTTACAATTTTGGAAAAGCATTTGACCATTTTTGGCCCCGCACCTCTGGCCCCAATTTTGGAGCGCTTTTAGCAATGGAGGGTTTTTGTAAAATTTCATTGAAATCGGTTCAGGAGGTTTTTTTTTCCAGAAATCGAAATGTTAAAAGTTTTCGACGCACGAGCCGGACAAAAGGGGATCGAAATAGATCATCCCGATGTCTGAGGCGAGCTAAAACAGATATAGATAAAAATAAATCATGATAAATGAAAGGTTCTCTTACTCTGAACAGGTGTACCCATTACTCTTTTTTCGGAGGGATGGGGTGGGGCTTAGATTTCCTTTTCTCGCACCTCAGACAGAGATATCCTCTGTAATACCCCCATCCTAGATTAATAAAATCAAGTCCTAGCAGGATGAAATAGCTATATGATGATGCAGTTTACTTCATCATTTGATTTCACTGTATCTAATCCTCATTTTGTATTGAAAGTCGTGGTTTTGTATAATCTTTAATCCTTGGTTATATATTGTCCACCAAAATATTACCACACGTGTGGATTAAGACTACAAATGATTGAAGCGGCGTGTAACAAAGCTGTAAATAAATCTCTCGCGACAGTGAGAGGTATATATATATGGTTGTTGACGGTAAGCACCATTGGTAAATTAAAAACAAATTATCAAATCCATAGTATTCTTTCTGTATTTTCTAATGAAGATAAATATCTATTTGAATTTAGGTATTTCAAATGCAAAGATAACGCTACGATGCTGCCACATGACAATTTCAATCTGAATTCTTCGATTTTTTTTGTCCAGCAAGGAAGTATGTGCGTGGTCTTGACTAGATTATGTTTTTATAAAATCTGATTTGTCCACAAACAAGATAATGTCTCTCGTTAAAGTACACGTTAAAAGTAAATTCTTGACTAAGAAATACTATAGTTTTAATATAATATATAATATAGCAAACAATGCAATATACTTTCACAATTCGTCTGGTTTTTGTATGATTACGTTATCACGTGGCGAGCGATTTTATGGAGCAATTTTACTGGAAGGTCACAAGCGTTATCCGTAAATGTGAAAGATTACATGGTTATGAACAATGGTACTATAAAGGTTGTGTGATTTCTTGTGTTGATATTTTAAACCAATATAGATGTGTTGATAGTTTTACTAATAGATAAAAACAAATGCAGTTGTTTCCAGAAGCAGCTGGCTGTCCAAGGACGCAAAGTTTGTTTGCTTTACTTTACAAGTGCTCCTGTTTAATTCTTTATTACGCAAGCGAAATACGGGGTTGTGTTAAGGGCCTAATTTAAAACATATGCATTTTGAATTTTGTTTAAAAAACTGGCAAAAGAAAATAAGTCAACGTGTAACAGTATGGTGTATTCTGAGAAAATGTAATAAAATCCTGATTTATAATTAAGATTTTCTGATAACTGTTTTGTATCCAAATCATATAATTTTCTGTTAAACCTATGTAACAGAAATGTTTTCAATTGGGTCAGTTCTATAGAGGAAGAATTATATCATTCAGGTTTTAGTGATATATGGATAAACCCTAATAGTGTCATACATCTAAATTTAATTTATTGGAGATTAAGCAAAGAATTAATTATGACTTCATTGGAAAATTCACCAAAATGCTTTATGTATAAATATCTCGTATATATTTCATCCAGTTTTACGTCAGTAAATCTATACCAATTAAATACCATATATGCTTTGACTAGAATCTGTACGTCATGTCATTCTCTTGTTACAGAGACAGGAAGATATAGGAATATTCCAAGGGCACACAGATATTGTAAGCTGTGTAAATGAGGATGACTTCCAGTTTTTACTAATATGAGGACAATTCAAAGCCATTCGATATTTTTAATTGTGATATATTAATGGAGAAAACCTTCGGTCCTGAAGTTAATTTAATATTTATATGATATTTATGAGTATCCACAATATTAAAGAACTTGGTATGTTAGGTAAATTTATTTATGAAACCAAGAAATTGCAAAATCCCTAATTATATAAAGAACGTGGAACAAGTCTTCACTCTCTACATTGTATCATGTAATGTATATGCAATATGTACTGATGGGCCTAAAGTTGTAATAAAACCTTAAACTACAAAAAAAAACCTCTTTCAATTTTCATGGCTTGACCGTTCGGCGATGGTCCTCCATCATCCCAAAACCACTCACTCTAACCTTTCTATATACCATCTAGAATATTTTCTCGGTATATGAATGCCACTTCGTCGTCATCCGTTGCTAACAACTGATCCCAGTATTTACCTACTACGTGTATTGTCCTGGCTGTTGACCACCGTCGGACAATCTGTAATCAATTATCACTTTTTCGAAGAGATTCTTTTTCAAAGAGGAGACTTATCTTGAGTAATTATCACAAAACTCAAAATTCTGATAGCTTTTCTATCTACCAAATAAGTTATTTAAAGATACGTTTTCTTTCAAAAATAATTTTTTCAGAAGAAATGCGTGCTGTATTTTCTGACATACAAACCGGACTGTTAGCCTCGACCATTACAACAAAATCAAACGAAACAAGAGATCTAGCGGCCTTAACGGTCAACAGAGATTGGCGTATTGAATATAAAGGTTAAAAGGTTAGTTATCAAGTGTCATGAAATAGAAATTGTGACACTGAATACAGTAAGCCAGTGTCAATACATGCATACCATCAAAACTGTCATCCTATACTAATAATTCTTATAAAGTTATTTTCAGTGGGAAATAACCAACGCCCTGCTCAAAAAATGCAATTTTCCATGAAAATTCACGTAAGTATAAAAAAATCCTCCCTCGGAAGAAATGCGAGACTCATTTTGGTAATTAAAGCACCCTAAGATGCTTCCATTCAGAAGAGCATTTGATTATACCATATATGGGTGTTAAGAAGGAAGAATTTTGAAATTTAAGTCAATTTGACCCATCAGCTCCTGGGGGTCAGTCAGGATCAAAATGGGCGTACCATCAGGCCGTCACACTTCACTTATAATTCTAACCAAAAGACCCCTTATGGCCCCGCCCCTCAGACCCCTGGGTGTAGAGACTATAATTTGCAATTTTGGTTCATCCTAGGCAAGGGAAGGTTTCTGCAAAATTTCGTTGAAATCAGATCTGGTTTTTTTGGAGAAGACTTAGAAAGAGTTAAATTGTTCACGGACGTATGACGGTGGATGAAGGATTTAGAATAGGTCACCATTAGACATCGTCTCAGGTAACCTAAAAATATCCTCGACATCCAGTCCACGGTTTTCAATGAAATCCAGTATTTGACTTTTGGCAGCCCTCTGTGATTATTTACAACTAGATTGTCACATTCAACAATAGAAACAAGACAAACAGATGATGCCATTTTAGAAAGCCTCACTTTATATTGCAACACCTATGTCAGACAATTATGGCAAATACATTCAGGCAGCTGCAAAATTGAAACATTTTACTTTTCTTAGCATGGTATTTCACATTCAGGTGTAAATAAACAAGTGATACATTATGTAATCATAGCGTTCCCTAAAAGACTACACCGTGAATATGTTTAGCACTTCCCCGAAACTATGTCCTCAATGAACTCTCTGTGTGTATCATTCTAGATTTTATGTTATCCTAATACTAGGTTTAAATGTTACTGCTGACAACTGTCATAAGAAATTGACAAACTTCTATAAATACTGACAACTAGATATAACTATGCATTTAAATTGACTATGAGCCAAGTTATATATAAATAATAACCACTATTGTTTACCCAGATAAACCGGATCTTTCTGTTAAGGAAGCTGGAGCTCCTGAAGACGACTTGCAAGCATGATCGGGATTAATGTCTGATCAATGCCCCTTCCCTTCGGTGAAAAGTGGGGTGTGTATATAAAAATCTATAAATAGGTCCATGATCTTGATCTAAATAAATATATTGATATTTCCTAATATATGATTACTTTCAAACCGTAAGGAAATTACAAATTAATTGTTACTATGTCAAATAATTATCTTATGTCAGTAAATTTACCATTACTTAAAACCCTGATCATGTTGACTGACAATACACAGTATGATGTATAGATACAGAACGGTTCCTCACAAGACATGTTTTTCAGCCATTCTGTTGTCCTTTGCAGATTTTAATCCTATAAATTAAGTAATATTGGACCATACAAGTCACTGATCCATCATTACACTGTAAGGTGTATCGAACCGAAATAAATATATTAATCCAATATTACTTTCGCTTGGATATCACTAGTGTCATTATTGAAGAATAAAACTTTCTAACTTTACACCAAACAAGAAGATTAGAATACTACTATTGAGTGTCATTATTGATAATCATTAAGATTACTATCAGACATGTACCACACTAAATAAGAAACACGAAAAGTACATGTACAAACAGAAATTACACTTCCAAATCCCAGTTATACTGAAATCTTATCCACAATTCATTTAGACCGCTAAAGGAGAACTTCCCTCAGTGTACACAGTGCTTTAATTAAAACAAATGTAGGTATGTACAAATTTACAATTCCTAGAGGTAGGTAACAAGACTTTAAAAATCAAAAATTCATCTTCGTTGTTATATCAAGTTGTAAAAAAAAGTATAAAAACAATAATCAATAAAATTGATAAGCTATTAAAGCATCAGCTGAACACATTCTTGAGATCATGTTAAATGACAGGTACATTATATATCTTACTAAGAAGTAATTCATAACAGTACCTCAATAGGTTACATTTGACAATCACTCCCAGTTTAGGTCTCCAGAATAACATTACCAAACACGGAAGAAATAAAATGTGTCTTTTTCAATTACTCATTTGATGAGGGTTTTTTTTTCATAATTGCAATGAAAAAAAGACAAAAAAAAAAAAAAATTTTTAATAATAATGATATGTTATCACATAAACATAATAATGGCGCATCTCTAGTCGCATAAACTTTTGACATATAAATATTTAATCTGGAGTGATAACAGTCACAATAAAATAATATTGTACATTTCTATGATGCTGTAATTGTAGTTTCCAGTAAGTGGAGAACTGTCATTAAGTACAATTTAAATAACTCCTATTACAGAAGAGCAACAAACTCGTTTCCATTTTCACACAACCATATCGCTCTGATATACATCTTTCTTCTAAAAACTTCATCTGCATGCTTTCCTTTCCTCACCCTTTTCATTCAAACGTTCCATCACCACCTTTCAGAGAAATATGAATTAAGAGTCATCTCCAAAATAACTGAATTTACATACAAACCAGTAATTCAGAACTACTTTTAGTTTTTCTTAATAATCAGGTAGGTTTGTCAGTGTGGTAATTTTAGATACAGGTACATACTTTGATACAATAAGTCTGAGACTGTTTATCACCATTTAATCACCAGTTAATATGTATACAAACTATATGTTCGTAAAACTTCCCATACTGTTACTATATGTTCGTAAAACTTCCCATACTGTTACTATATGTTCGTAAAACTTCCCATACTGTTACTATATGTTTGTAAAACTTCCCATACTGTTACTATATGTTTGTAAAACTTCCCATACTGTTATTACATGTTCGTAAAACTTCCCATACTGTTACTATATGTTCGTAAAACTTCCCATACTGTTACTATGTGTTCGTAAAACTTCCAATACTGTTACTATATGTTCGTAAAACTTCCAATACTGTTACTATATGTTCGTAAAACTTCCCATACTGTTACTATATGTTCGTAAAACTTCCAATACTGTTACTATATGTTCGTAAAACTTCCAATACTGTTACTATATGAAAATAAACCTTCCTATACTGCCATTAATAGATCACAACATGTATGTCTAGGGCTACTTCCGTATGGTACACGACAGTTCAACTCTTACTTTAGACTCAGCAACTGTGGGAGTAGCGAGAAACTTCTACAAGAACTATAGAAGGAAATGGTAAAACCTTAACACTAAGGCAGTACATGTGTCTTTGAGGTTTATTGGCTGTCAACAGCCATGCTCATTCTGAAACAGTCCTCGGGGTAAAACAACTTGTCCCAGGAACAACCATAACAGCACAGTTAAGATTTTAGCCTCTCAAGAAACACAAACTGTCTCCCATGGAAACTGAAGCCCACAATTCAGATCTATGCATGAAATTGCATAAGCAGAGCATTTTTCAATGGTTTGGGACAAGGCATTTTTGCTTCAATTAGTGAAGATATTTGGTAAACCGTTTACGATTTTCAAGAATAAAATATAAATTTTGGGAATTTGCCTAAAATGTGAAATGATTTCAATTGGCAATGGACATGATATTGTCTGAGAAAGCCCTGATGCTCTTTTAGACTACAGTTAAACTGTTGCAGATGATGGCGATCGGAGGGATAAATAAGATGAAAGGCATCATTCAAACATGAACCAGTTATATGGTCATGACAACTGCAAAACCGCCTCAACAATAAAATAACCAAAGTTTATGTTCATGTACAAATGAGTTTCTGACTATTAATAGTTGATATGGTAGTTCCCAAAGATATATAAGCAAAATCCTTTATCAAATTATTTTTAACCAATCCCGACAATACCAGTGTGCTTTAGTTCTGTTTTTAAACAATCCTAAAATGATTGATATAATATATGCTCACAAACCCATGTCATCATGTTTACTGCCCACACAACATTAATGCACAGTAAGCTCAGTCATCACAAATTTTATCTACAGCTTCTACAATTAAAAATTTATAAAACAAAATAATGAGCAAATATACACCGAATGCTATATTGTAAACATACATACAGCATAAACATCTTCATAGTTAAGGTGCTAAAGAGGCTTGACCATCTTTTCTCCACAGCATACAAAAATCTTCATACCAAGGGAGGTCACTCCAATCATTTGGTGACTCGTACTACAATAAACTCTTTTGCACAGGACAGGTGTTTGAATCATTCAAACAGTGATACATTTATCCATCATTTACTTGACATAATTAACAAAACAATCCTCAGTGCTTGTACATAACAGCCTTATCTCATTGACTGTTTCTTTGAAAGTCAATAGAATGCTATGCTGTACGAGTGTATTGCAAAATCTCAAAATCATAGAATCTGCAACAAAAGGGTCTTGTTTTAACACTTGGAGAAAACATTGTTACAACTAAAAAAACTTGTCGAATAATACCATCCTTAACATACCGTGTGTATGTAAATTGTGTAAAATAATGAATGATATAAAAACACCTGATTTTCTACTCCATACACAAGGTTAACTGTTCCAGGACATTTATATTAGAGAAAATCAGTAATCAACAAATTTTACCCTAAATGTCAACATCACTGATTAGTATGTCACCTCTATGAAATTGACAGCCAAATACAGACTGCTTCTAAAAACAAAAACAAACAAAAATCAAGAATATCTCCTGAAGTTTTTGAAGAAAACAACAGTAAATTTTACCAAATTTTACAGGCACAGGCTGCTGCTAAATTCTTGCAGAAAATGAACACTGCTGTATAATAATACTTCATGTATATGAACTACTTCAAGGAACAGATCAATAACACATAGGTCCGATAAATCACATCAACTGATGATTATTATCAGACATAATGTATTTCATCATGGGGACATAACTGTGGTATCTATATACTATCTACCTAATGAATTCCATAGCACGATACAACAAAGACAGATACCAACACTACACAGACATTGGAATTGTTTAAAATACAAAATTGTAACTGTTCACATGTCATAATTTAGATGCACTTTATATTTTGTAATCCAAATATTCATACTAATCATAATCTTATTACATAACCTTGACCAGAATAATAAATTTTATTGAAATTTAATTTCAGCTTCATTTGAACCCCTATGATAAAGCCTTTATTAATGCTGATGTGCTGATCATTTGGATTAAAGAAAGAGAGGTCTTTAAATGAGCTAGAAAATGTCTGTTAGATAGGAATGCCCACTCCTATACAAATCAAAATGTGACCAGTTGTACAATTGGATGTTATAAAACTATGGATTAAATACAAACCAGGTGTGTTGACAGATTCTTAAGATATAACATCTAATTGGGATGGGACAGACATTGATAAAACAACATGCTCCCCTCTCTTCCATTAGATGACAGAGCATAAAAAACAGCAAAAGTTAAAAAAAAGATAAAATACAATTTTAAAGCAAAATTCCTGTATTGTTATTTAATTTCATGGGGCTTATATTTTGCAGTTGTCCCGTTTTGGACTAGTTCATAGGCATTAAATTTCCTGCATATCTATGAACTGGTGTCTGTGCATACAACATCAGATATTTTCTGATACTGTAGAAATTCATTTCACCCTATACTATTGACTGCAAAAATAGTAAAAATAAATTCCTCACTAATATAACAGTACTTCGTACAATTCAAATCCATCTACACAGTTCTCAAAATGGTATTTACTGTACTTCAGCTTTAACAAGTCTGGCCAGGAATGGGTAGCAAATGATTGCTGGGTATACAGATAGTTCTATTCAAGTATTGGTATGACCCTCATCCTTACAATATATCTCAGCATGGCAGACTGATATTGAACTAGCAAATCACCGGTTAAAATAGGGTACAGGGTCATGGCTCAGAACTATTGCTATTAAAAAGAATGAATCACATAAGAATACAATAAGAAAGACAAAATTTCTAACTATAAAGAAAATCAAGGTCAACTGTCTTCAAGGTCAAATCCAGAGGTCTGTAGTTTCATCACATGCTGATACATCTTGAGGGCAGGGCCTAATTTGATTGACAAGCCTGTGAGCACATCACTCCTCTTCATCAACAGAAGGGATTGTCCATCAATTTCCTGTAAATTGCATTTGTCTTGTCATATTTTTACCAATCAAGTTTTCTATTTTTTGAAGACGACATTTAGCACATATGAAGTTTTAATAATTACATTTGTAATCATATATCAGATTTTATAAATTAATATCTTAAAAAATAGCTACTGCGGGTAATAACGATCTAGTTTGTGATGTCCATTGCATATAAATTACCACACAACATTTGTCCAAACCAAGCTGAACACTTAACACACAGATGCACATGTCAACGTCACTATGTCAGTAACTGTTTAATACTGACCTGTTCTTTAAGAGCCTCTGCCTGCTCCTTGAATCCTACATTTACGAAGAAGTGTACAACATCCTCCACTTTCCACTTAGAGGCATCTGGATACTGACCATTTTCAATAACAATGCTGACTTTTTCATTCTTATCACCCTTTTTCCCCTCTATATCCAAAGACTTCTTCCTTCCCTCTGCAGTCTTTCGTTTCCGTGGAACAGGTTCAACCCTGAAGAACAAACATGTGGTTAAATATCCAGTGCATTCCTAGCTGATCTATCATGCATTGTTAATCTTGTACAATAAACTGAAATTGTAAAGTTTCATTACTCATGTCCTTCAGATTTCACCACTGATGACCAAAGTGTGTCAGAAATGTTCTTACTTTTCTTCTTCCTCTTCCTCGGAGGCTGGAGAATCACAAGGTGTTGGTAGACAGGATGCACCACCTCCATCTGAAACAAAGTTTAATACCCATTAGGTGTATATTCTCTATTGTCCAATTCTATCATTAAAACAGACACGTTTATCAGTTCTGATGCAAGATTTCATATGTTTTTCACATAAAACCAAATGACACACATCTTCATTTTTTTAAATTTAACTATTTTACAATTGCTTTACCTGTGACTTGGCTATCATCCATATTATTGGTGTCCTGTATGTCTTCTCCATCTGATGATGTCTCCATGGTCTTCTCCAGCATACACTTACTACACACCCAATTACCTGACAAGGGAAGGCAGACATCAACACAACTGAACTTCTTTGACATTGCTTGAATGCTTGAATATTTTCACATGAATAGAAAAAACAAAGTATTTCGTTCAAATAACCAGGTAACATAGCCAGAGTTGTTATAGTGGAGGGAAAACCGCATTGCGATATCGTCAAGTCTTGCTTATATCATCGTGATAATTATGAAATAAAATCTGAATGTTAATACTGTGTTCCAAGTTAGTTATTTCTATCAGCAAATAAATGAAAACTTATCCCCAATTCCCTGTGTAATTTTTATTTGATCTGAACATATGTAAGTGACAGAAATGTTACTTTAAATTCCAGTTTTCATGTACATTTGAACCTGTGTCACTCTCAATTTGAGTCTGTCTGTTTCTTTAAATTTTCGGTAATAGCAAGTTTTTATTGAGAAAAATTAATTTATCCACATAAGGGCTCTCGATCTGCCAGAATTGGGGCCGAATAGCAAAATAGTATCTTTTTTCCCAATTTAGACCTAAAGTTTTCCCAATTCTAAGGAAAACACCATTATTTTTCCCGATTCTAAGGACCCCGGGCCCCAGTCCAAAAATGGGGTGTGAGAGCCCTGCACATTGTCATCTAATAATGTTGCACATTTGTTTGCAAGAGTGTTTAAGAGTGTTGGCTGGTGTTCTAGTACATTCTTTTAAATAACAATCCATTTCCTGGCATAATATTTGCTCTCATGTTGAAAGTTTCTCTCTCATGTTTAACAAATAAAACACTATCAAGAAAGTCTCCCAAACTGTCACCTTTCATAACTTGTTTTCCATCAGGTTCTGAACGACTATTGTCGATTTGATCGACAGTGTCAATCAGCTGTATGGAAGGAAGTTCTGTTAGTGTGGTGGTATCTTTGACTGTCGAGGTTGCAGCTGATTGGTTACTGTGGCAATCAGGTTCAGTTTTCACTTTGATGACAGGTGGACAGCATTGGAACCATAATCAATGCTGTTGGATTTTTATCAGTGATGCTATCAAATGGTTTTAGAAGTTTGATAGTTCGGTAGACAAACAGATGTGTTAACAGGTGTCAGAAAATGGAATAGTCTAATCTGATACGGTGTAGCTATTTCACTCAGAGATTCAATGACAATTGACACATGTTTTGTTACATTGTTTCAAACAGCTGACTGACTTCCTAACATTGTTTCACTATGTTTACCAACTTTGAATGAACAGCTGCTGACAACAACTTTGTGTGCTTTGTCTAGAGATCATGTATGTTTTCACTAGAAAATTAAACTGTTCCCTCTTACTTTTTGCTGGCGACGATATTGCCAATCTTAAAATTTTCCATGATATCGGTGTCCTGCTTTTCTAATCATGATACCTTGCGATGCCGATATATAACAGCTCTAAACATAACCCTCGGACTATGGGTTATTTAGATGTATTAAGTGAGCTTGAGTGACAGTGAATACTTGCTTGCCCCTGCATGCTTATGGCCAAACATCATAATCCTTGGCCTTTTGATCATTCATTAGAAGTAGTTGAAAATGCATACACATGTGGCCTCTATAAACTCAGCGAAAGGGTTGAAGCAACAAATTATAGTCCCTGAATCCCCCCTATGTATAATGCCACACAGAAAAACACAATTCACTTCATAAACTTTACACAAAATTGTACATTTCAAGCATGATGGCCATTCCAGTTTCAAAATCCTCTTGCAGTATTTTAAGTTTAAACAATTTCTGAAACAACTATTTACCTAAAGGTTTTTTCTCCAGTGGGGGATTATGACAGTTCATATGGTATCCCTTGTCACAGGCATCACAGAATAGCATCATTTCCTGAAACAAGAGGAGACAATTGCATGGATGTAATCATTAAAATATAACAATGTGTATGATTTAGATGCGAATTAAGTCTGTCTTTGCTGCTTTGCTTTTACTTCATCATATAATTATTGGGAAAAAATCTTGCTTTAGTAGACATCATCTGTTATTCCTTTGAGAATAGATTTTGCATCACTTCATCATATGCAGAATCAGCATTTCCAAGAATTGATTTATGAAAACATCAGAATTTTTTACTTATTTTATTTAGAATCAAGGTTGTCTCCCTTTAACCAGAACTTCATTGATACATGCACAATTGGCTGTTTCAGATATTGGTTGATGAAGTTAGTGGTATCTCCATCCAAGTTTGGTTTGTCACTTACAGGGTCACCAGAATCCTCACATACAAAGCAGGTCTTACAGTCGATGCATTGCCACGGTGATTCAAGTGCACGCCTTGCCAGACTTTCACAGTAACCCATACAAGAGGGGTGGGCTGTGTATGGGAAAAAGAAGATACATCACAAAAGCTTTCCTATCACTGCAGAGATATTTGTAGGGATATTAAATTTACCTAGAAACAGAAACTTTCCATCCCACCAACAAATTTTTAAACTTTAAACTTTTCATAGTGTTCACCCTTTAAACCTTATGAAGGTGTTGCTCAAAGATGCAAATTACACACAAACCTTTTAAGCTGATAAACAAGATTCAACTAGAAATGAGATGTTTCAATATACTTTTCATTGCATTTTGTTGATCAAAGCACATGGAAAAAGATAGAAAATATAATGAACAATTCTCCTCTGGAAGGATGACTATGTTTCAATGCTTTGCATTTTGTTTTAAGCATGTTGGTGTCTTATCATACATCTAGTTTGACTGAAGCAATTTGAGAAGACCTGTCACACTAAATTTGAGCTTAAACCACTTAATCAGACCTGCAGGCTTACTTTGTAATCTGTTAGGTGGTGCCCTCTAAACAAGATAATATGATGTTTCACAAAATTGTCATTCATTAGAGGAGGCGTTACCTGTCGCTTTGCACTCTTTGCATGTCAAAAGCCCTTCAGAAAAAGAAGCACTGCTTGTAGCCTTCAAACAATAGTCGCAAATAGATGCCTCCTCATCATCAGAGTTGTTTTTCTTCTTCACAGAGTGTGTTTCAAAATCTGGTCCATGAGTCTTCCTAAACTTCTGTAAATGAAAATTTAAAACTGATACATTGTTAAACAATATATCAAAAATTAAAATAGAGAACTTTATTCTTTCAATTTTTCATTCCCCCATTTACAAAATCTCAACTATGGCAGTGGAATTTTGTTGGCCACGTGACAATTTTTAAGGGAAATGGTGGAAAACACTCCTATGGAACACCCTAATAGGAATGTTATCCAGCCTTCTACCTGATGATGCAAAGGCTACTTAATGAAAGGCCCCATCAGCTTAGTCACAAACAAGAATTTACCACAAGTTTGAACCACACCAACCATCTCTTTTACATACCCCTAATTGTTGGGTTTTTTTTCAGCCTTGGTTTTTTTTCATTTAAATGCAAAAATGAAAAGCAGTTAATAATACATTTAATATATAAAATGATGGAATTCAACATGAATTAATTTAAATTCATTTTAATCCATTAATAGGTTATTCGCAATCTTTAGAAGATGTAAAAATGAGAACAACCCTTTATTAATGATAAATAATTAATGTAGTAAAATTATCCTGCATTCATGCACCTATTTATCATAAAGAAAGGTCTGTAAGTATTTTATATTAGGCACTTGTCAGCTTGATATCAGTTTTACCCTAAAAACATTTACTACAACTCAATCTATATATTTATCTTATTGTACAACATTACAAAATAGTAGTGCGATTTTAATGAAGTAACTGCATACATTAACACAAACTTTGAATAATTTCACCTTGAATTAATCGCACCAATAATGTATACAAAGAAAAATCATAAAAACATAAGAAAACTAGATATTTTCTAAACCTTTCGCTTAGAAGGAGGCCGCCCGCGTTTAAATTTCGGACTCGTAACCGGATTAGCAGTCTCCGTTTTCTCAGGTTTGTCGGGCTTGCTGGACGTTGGTGTCGCAACTTGCTGCTTTTTGCGCGCTGCAGTTTTCGTCTTGTTTTCGCTTCCAATATTAATTATATAATTGCCATTCGACAGTTTTTTCAAACTTCCATTATCCACGTCCCTCCCTATCGCAATCATAAGCTGATTTTTTGTCAACCGACTGTCCGTTTCGGCCGAGAGCCATTTTTCGATGTCTTTCGCTGACGCACCTACGTCTTCGCTCCCCAGTTCCAGTAAAGCTTTGATCGCCGCTCTAATATTTTTGTTTGTACTGTTGGAATTAAGGAGTTTTCTTCCAAATGGTTTCTTTTTCCATTTTGAAGCATTCCTGTAACTCACATTGCTTTTATAATCAACTTTAACTACAATACCCAAATCGACGAGCTTCTCCAACTGAGCTTCCGTATCCAAGTGTTTAGTACCATATCGCCGCAAGGCCATGTGGCAGATCCTATTCAAATCTGGACGTGCTTTTCGCATCCGCAGCTGATCTATTATTTGCAAAATCGTGTCCCGGTCTTTTACAGATGCCATCGTGTCTTCAGATTCCTTTTCCGTCGATGAATTGGCGTTTGTATCGATGTTTTCAAAGTGATCGGTGTCTTTCTTCGCCTCAACTTCCATCGTGCGCATGCGTACAAATAAAACCGCACTGAACTATGGGATACTATGGGGTCCACCATGGGAGTCATGATAAAAATAGTGTACACATCACTGGCATTTTGTGGCACACATTCCTCTCATATTTTACCCTTTATAACAAATGTAGATATAAGAAATACTTCTTTATTTGTTGCACTATAAATGTGCACTAAACACCTGGTAAACACGGACATTTAAAAAAATTTTACACAGAAATATTGGCATATTAAATCATCAACGAATTTTAATGATTTCCCTTAGTCTACCCTGAGACTTGACTGTGTAAAGTAGGCGTGGCTTATTTCTAAATTGAAAGTATATATTGAAGGTGTGTATCTGCACCTTAAATTTTGGTTTCGTGTGGCGGTGTAACGATAAACGAATATCAAACTTGAAATTTGTTAGATTCTAATCTGACTTTATCTCATTTTGGGTTGATTTTTTGTCAGCGATCACACACAATGACATTCTTACGTTGTCCGAAATTGTGTCTGCGAAGACCAGCCTACTCGGCAAACGATAGACATACACGTACAAAACATCTGAAGTTGAACGGGCTGTTTACATTGTGTGTGTCCAGTCGCAACCCATTTAACGTAACTGGGAGGACTGGTCTAGTCATGATCATACATATACCCAACATACAGTCAGGCTGTGTGACGATTCCACGCGTGTACCTCAAGTAGGCAAGCAATGTACGTAATACCAATTTAACGAGTTGCGCCAATTGCGTTTGTAAATTTATGCTAAAATAAATTTATTTCGCGTCGGCTTGTGTCCGAATATTCTGTAAGAAGCAAGTAGCGATATTGTAATGTTACCAACAATTATCAAGAAACACAAATATATCATACTTATACCAGTGGTATGATATAAGATATGGATCACGTGCAATCGCGAAAGATACTATTAAATGAACTCCGAAGGTGACATTCCATCAACCAACACGTACGCTTACCTGTCGCGCCCTGTGTCAAAAGGTGTGTCGCTCATCAAGTCTATTCTGAGCGATTTAGTGCACGTGCCCCATCAGTCCAGAGACATCGTTACACGTGTATGCATAGCATTTAGCAAAATACGCATCGCGTCCAGCGATCTAGTACTACAGAGAATAAGATGCATAGTGCGTGTATAAGGAAATTCGAAGTGTAGTTACTCATGTACTGCGTGTACAAATTTGATGCACAAATCGTACGGTAAAAGTCATATAACACACATACACACACATAGAACACCTTTGCTATAAAATCTACATACATGAATAATCTTTGCACTCTGATCTCCTTTTACGGGATAATTATCGAGTTCCTGATACTTGACATGCTGGGTCCTTTTCGCGCTTCGATCAGTATTCGCGTTTGGGTACAATCTAACCTAACCATATACAGGTATATTCCATGCGTTCAACAAATGACGTGAAGTAAAGATGTGCATATTCAAACGCATGTATACAGACACCAAGGCACATCCGTACTGAAATCAGACCAACCGCATATTAACTTACCGATACGTTCGAGCAAAATTTTCGAGCCCGTGTACGCTAGTTCTGCATATATATCCACGAACTTATAGAGTCAGTACATGCTTTTGATCACACCTCGAAACACATTTTACGTTTTTCAATCAGTTAAGATGGATTGCACATCGGACACAAACACATGCATACCAGAAATGAGGAGCATCTTGCCAGCATAAGACACGTTTCGCGTCCATGAACAAGCAGGAACATCGCATTCGGGTAGGCTCAAATTTAGGACGGACACATTGAACATAGACATTGAGCATCGCGTCGACGTACCATTTCTATATATCGACGTTTGCAGTAGACGTGAAATACATTGAGTCAGGACATAACGCAAAAAGGGTTTTCATACCATATTCTAAACCATAACTACAAACAGACTCGTAAAAATTCTAACATCATAGACATGCACAATACTACCACCTTCGCATGCCCGCACCAAAAATAAATAAGAGTCTAAGCGAGTTGTTCTCATACAAGCATTCGAAAGGGACAATAATCGCGCCTGTAGTACCAACTTCTGCAGTGAAGACGAGGAAAATCGCGTCCGTATCAGTGGAGATGAGGCACATCGCGTCCGTATTAGGGGAAACGAGGAACATCGCGTCCGTACCAGGAATGAAAAAGGGCATCGTGTCCGTACCAGGGAAGACAAGGAACAACGCGTCCGTACCAGTGGAGACGAGGAACAACGCGGCCGTACCAGTGGAGACGAGGAACAACGCGGTCGTATCAAGGACACGAGAAGCACCGCGTCCATACCAGAGGAAACGAGGAACATCCCGTCCGTATCAGTGGAGACGAGGAACATCGTGTCCGTACTAGGGGATATGAGGAAAATCGCGCCCGTTTCAGGGAAACGAGGAACATTGCGTCGTACCAGAGGTGACAAGGAGCATCGCGACCGTACCAGTCAAGACGAGGAACAACGCGGCTGTATCAAGGGAGACGAGTAGCGCCGCATCCGTACAAGAGGAGACGAGGAACATCGCGTCCGTATTAGAGGAAACGAGGAACATCGCGTTCGTATTAGGGGAAACGAGGAACATCGCGTCCGTACCAGGGTGAAAACGGGCATCGTGTCCGTACTAAGGAAGACAAGGAACAACGCGTCCGTACCATTGAAGACGAGGAACAGCGCGGCCGTATAAAGGGGGACGAGAAGCACCGCGTCCATACCAGAGGAGACGATGAACACCCCGTCCGTATCAGTGGAGATGAGGAACATCGCGCCCGTTTCAGGGAATCGAGGAACATTGCGTCCGTATCAGGGTTGACAAGGAGCATCGCGTCCGTATCAGTGAAGATGAGGAACATCACGTCCGTACCACGGTGGAGACGAGGAACAGCGCGGCCGTACCAGTGGAGAGGAGAAACAACGCGTCCATAGCAGAGGAGACGTGGAACATCGTGTCCGTATCAGGGGAGACGAGGAACATCATGACCGTATCAGGGGAGACGAGGAACATCGTGTCCGTATAAGAGGAAACGAGTAGCACAGCGTCCATTCCAGAGGAGACGAGGAACATCCCGTCCGTACCAGAGGGAGACGAGGAACATCCCGTCCGTACAAGTGGAGACGAGGAACATCGCGTTTGTATTAGGGGAGACACGGGACAACGCGTCCGTACCAGGGAAGACGTGGAACAACGTAGCCGTATTAGCTAAGACGAGGAACATCGCATTCGTACCAGGGGAGACGAGGAACAACCCCGTCCGTACTATTGGAGACGAGGAACAGCGCGGCCGTACCAGGGGAGACGAATAGCTTCATGTCCGCACCAAGGGGAATGATGGGGGGAGGGGGGGGGGGGAGTAGCGAGGAATATCGCCAAGATCCAAGATCCGTACCAGTGGAGAAGAGGAATATTGCGACGATCCGTATCAGGGGATAACAGAAACATCGCGTCCGTATCTGGGGAGATGAGAAACATTGCGTTCGTACCAGGGGTTACAAGGGGCATCGCGACATTACCAGGGGAGACGAGGAAAATTGCGTCCGTACTTAATGAGACGAGGAACAACGCGACCGTATCATGGGAAACGGGTAGCTTCATGTCCGCACTAGGGGGATGAGGAACATTGTGTCCGTACACGTGGAGACGAGGGACATCGCGTCCTTACCAGTAGAGACGAGGAACATCATGTCCGTACCAGGGGGACGAGTTATGTCGCGCCAATCCGTACTAGGGTAGAAGAGGAACACCATGTCCGTACCAGGGGTGACGTGGAACATCGCGTTGATCCGCACTAGTGGAGACGAGGGACATCGCGTCCGTACCAGGGGAGACGAGGAACATCGCCAAGATCCGTATCAAGAGAGACGTGGATTTACAAACATATTTCAGGGATTTCATAGACAATATCCATTGCGTTCATATGCAAACATATCAATTTAAATTGTTAATATCAATCGCATCCGTACTACCAACATGTGTAACAAAATTGTATAGCGTTCGTATACCCCCAAAGAGTTAAGGACAAAAACCTCCATTGGTACCAATATCGTGATCGTACTACAGCGCCGCTGATGATATAAAAGACGAGACGCACCGCGTCATTACAAGGTAAATATTCGTCGTGTAACTGAAGTGAAATGTATTTAATAGCCCGTGTACACAATGTAACACCCTTCGCATCTCTGTCAATGCAAACAGCAGATACCACATGTAGACGTCGCGTCTGCGTAAATCTATGACGCGTGCAGACACGTGCAATAAAATGAGACGCACTACGTTCACGTACAGCCATATTCAGATTTTTAGTTAACCTTAAACAAAGCCTCATATTGACCTACTGCCATACCCTTTTGTCCGGCGTCGTCTGTTGTCCGTCGTGCGTCCGTAAACTTTTTACATTTTTGACTTCTTCTGGAAAACCCTTGAACTGATTTCAATGAAACTTGGCAGAAACCATCCATGGCCAAAGGTTAACCGAAATTGTAAATTATAAAGTCCCTAAACCCCAGGGGCTTGAAGGGCGTGGCAAAAAACGACCATGTTGAATGGAATTTCAAAAATATTCTTTCCAAAAATTGTGTTTATGTACATAATATCAAAAAATTATTACAGTGATATGCATATATAATTGATCAAAAACCGATCGGATCTCTCCTTCCACCAGTTGTACACTATATAAAAATGAATGAAGACGTGTTGCCTACAGAAAAAGTTGTTCTGCTGAACTGTGTATCAGTGTCTGTGGTTTACCATGACAGCTGTTCTGTATGTGAAAGTACGAGGATTAACACAAGCGCCTTCGTACTGGATCATTCTTGTAACATGTTGTATGTATTTTTAAAACTGAACAATGAAGACCATAGATATAGGACGAACCTGCCTGCAAGTTTGAAGCAGAAATGTCCGTTTTCTACCATACCTGATTGGACAATCGATCATATGATAGAAAGGATCTGAAGTTTCTTTCAATTTGAGATCAATATTTATGAAACAAGTCTGAGAATTTTCATATTTTTCTTAAGATTTATTGAAACTCATGTAAAACCCAAATATGATTTGACGTAGTTGAAAATTATCATTAAAGTTAATTTTAGCAAACAAACTCTTTTCATCTATATGTACATACATTCAGATTTACCTTATGACCTCTACACCACTATACAATAGACATTTGACCATCTCCTTAGAAACAAGGGGAAACCCCAGCCATCCTGGTGACTATACACAAGATTAATATGATATTGATACGTCTGTATGATGTTGCCGCAAGTATCCGAGTGCAGGGTAATATGGTTTTTGAAATGTACATTCTATCGAGTTTTTTTCTACCACACTTCCCAGCATTTAAAATGCCAAGTTGATGAAGTAAACTAAATACATAACGTTATTGTAAATGTAGCCTTTGAAATGTAGAAGTCAAATCATACAACAAGGGATCCCAGGGGGATCTTGGTGCCCACCATTGTTTGATCTTTATATGCTCTTTGAAAGTTAGATTTTTCCCTTCTTTTCTCTGTTTTTGCTCTTTATGATAAGACATTTGAACATTCCCTTGCAGAAATAAAAGATAATCTCTACCTGCCAAATCCAAAATGGCTACTTGGAAGCCATTTTGTTTCTTCTGATCAATCCCAAATGCAAACGGGCACAAGGAGAGATCAAAGGGAACATATGTATGAAATTTGAGAGATATCCATTTAGCAGTTCTTCAGAAATAGTAATCACAATCTTTACTGGGCAAAAATCCAAGATGGCTGCCTGTCGGCAGTTTTATTGTTCCATATGAAAATTTTTAAGAACAACACATTTGTTTTTTTGCCATGAGAGGTTGGAATATATATATATAAATTGATACAAAGAATATAGGACTGGTAATTACATACAACATACGACAACAAAAATACTTCAGCTATAGTTTATTCATTTACCATGTATTTCATTTTCAAATGCCATATTTAACTGCAAACAAGTTAACCCCCTTAGTAAGCTAAAAGGAGTTCACAAATAAGCCCTCCCCAAACAATACTAAACATTACACTAAAAGAGGGGGCAGATTTGTGGATAAATATGGCACAGGATCACATCACACATGTATTTGTAGTTTATTTCTCTTATTTAAATCATTCATTTGTATTTCTACCTTACACACTCAAACAGGACACAATATCTCCAACAACACAACCTACAAATTGTAAATAACAACAATAATCAATAAATCAGTCATGATTTAGGTTTAATGTTGATTACAAACGTACTGATTTAGTAAATTACAATTGTACTGTATATTACAAATTAATGATATTGTTAAAATGATCTTAAGTTCAATTCATAGTGATTAGTTAATGAAATACTGTCACAACACCATTTAAGACTTTCTTTTTTCCATGAAAACTTTCAGGAAAAACATGTCATAGTCCTAAGTTAAGCTAACACCATCCTTTTGACCAAAGTTAATGTATTTGCTCCCTTACTTTATAACTGGAATAAATGATGTAAAAGGTAGGTCACAGTGACCCCGATATGTTTAAGTACATTCCACCTTTCCTTGGTTTTTACTTCAGAATCTCCTAAGAGATTAAATATAAAGACTTGCATAAAAAAGTGTCCGATATTGTGTATTTGATTAAAACAAAAGTCTGACCTGTATTAAACATTGTGGTCAAATTTCTGTCAGGAGATTCTGATATCGCAATAAACAAATACTGAATTACTGCTTATGAGGCTGCTATATTAAATACTGATGTATAGAATAATGAGAACCAACAAAAGACAATAATCTTAACTACATACCTGTTGACCATGAATACTGTTTATAGGAGTAACTGAAATATCTGAATACTGTTATCCTGAATTAGGTATATAGAAAAATAAAACATATTGAAACATTAGCACTTTCATACCAAATCTTTAGATGATTTCCAATTAGTTTTTCTACCTCAGTAGGCCTACATGGTCGCCAATATGATAACATAGTATGTCATCAATAATGGGTTGATTGTTCTATATATGTACAAGACATTGCAAATTTTAACTTTTTAAAATATACATATTTGTTACATGAAAACCCAATACTTTAAGTTAAATGATAGTCAAAAAATGATAAACCCAGCCAAAAGTAAACAAATACTAGCCTGTTATAATACAACTGATTTGTTTTAATGATGTAAGCACAATATGTAATTATGCCAGAGGTAACAACACTTTCATGTGTGATCATTCTTTTAAACCATATCAAAATATAACTCAACAATGAATGTGCAACATTTTTTTTTAAAATGATTATATCTTAATTTTGAAATTATGGCTAAATTGGTCAGACCTGTGCAATTCAGCTTAGAATTGACTTGTCCAAACAATTCTTTACTGAATTTGGTGGAAATTCATAAACCTGTTTTGAAAGAGATGCCAGATTGAGAAAAAGTTACAGATGGCACACATCAAATAATGGACACTGTCTGATGGCACAAGTTCTTTTGACTATCAAATCATTTATAGGATTCCAAAACCAATGGTAGGACAGCAATAACACAGACAATACACAGTGTTACCTTGGGAAGTTTTCTTTTCAGACTTGTAAGAATAAGGAGTATGGCATAGTGTTCTCAAAAGGACCTGGAGAATTTGGATCAATAGTTGCTAAACCAGTAGTATGATAAATCAGTTTTTTGGTGTTTTGTTTTTGTTTCAATTAAACCCCAAAAAGTTCTTTACATTTTATAAAACAATTTAAACCATATTAATAAAATCAGGCCGCCACTTCATTCAACCAATTTCCACACTGATTATACTTTATATATGACATTAGGGCTGATTACACCTAACAGTTAATGACAATATATATTAGCACTCTCTGTAGTTACTAGCCCTGAGCTGCTGTTTGGTCCTTAAGCATAATGTTTTCATAACAGACTCCTGTCACCAAGGAAACCAAAGTAGCTAAATGATATAATTGTTAGAGTGAATAATGTCACATTTCATCCACAGCATTCAGAATGTCAATACAATTTTGGAAAAAAAATAGAAAAGAAAATTGCAATTTTCTGTTTGAAGCAATTCCTAAAATAGAAGTAAGACCAAATGGCCCATTCTCCAGAACAAACATATCCCCCATCCTGCCCTCCCATCCCCCACCCCCCCAACAAAAAAAAAAAAGAAGCTTCCAGTGAATGATTCCTAAAATAGCAGTCATTATTGATAATGTTTCATTCATAAGAACAAAAAATGGCACATACTTAAAATAAAAAATAAAGAAAAAGAAAAACAAACTTTATCAAATCAAAGACTCCCATGTTAGAAAATTAAGTTAAATCACCTTTGAATACATAAATACTGAAATTTTGTATGTCTGGTAAATAATTGCCCCACTTTGAAAAACAATTGCATACCAAGCAGTTATATTATGCTACCTTTAAGAAAAAGAATTATTTTAAATACTTAAAGCACATATTAATAATGGTTTCAAAATGATTTCAAAACAACAACAAAATGGAGAATAAAGAATGGAATATGTTTAGCACTATCACCTAATCACAGTGTCCCTATGCAGTACATTTTACCAGCGATAAGTCTATGTTTGATATAAAGTCTAAACCCATTATGTTAAAAAACAAACCGATTCTGTGTTTATTTTCTTTTGAAAAGTTACCAGAAACAATGACTTTATCACTGGTAATAATGTAACATGAAAATATGTGAAACAAATCTCTAAACAGCTAAAAAGCACGAAAATAACCAAAAAATAAAACCAAATATGTAAGTCCCACTATTTGATTGTAGCCAGGATAATCACAGTCACATAAGATCCCTATAGTCACTTCCTGATATAACCATGATGATATGGAACATCCTATTCAGGATTGTTGGCACTGTATTACCCTGACAAGGCAGATTCCCTGAACCAACAGTTTTTAGCACTATGACTTAAATCCATTTGGGTTCTGTGACTGCCATTTCCATAGATCCTCACCTGTGAACATGAAAACAACACTGGTAAACATTCTACAGTTAATCATAGTAATGTGTTATTAGGTAATCAACCTGTAAGTAAACCACATCAAAAGTATTTGGCATATTATCAATAATTGCAGGTAATCACATGATTAACATATTTGCAATAAATATCAAAGGTAGTTAGTATAGGGTACATAATCACAGGTAATCACATAATTAATTTGGCATAAGGTAAATAACCATAGGGAATCGGTAAATCAACCTGAAGGTTATAAGGTTAACAACATCAAACATATTAAACATACAGGTACCTAATCCTAGGTAATCAATATTCAGGTAAACAAATTTAGATAATCAAGATACAGATAAACAATCAGAGCTAATCAGCATACAGGTAAACAATCCTACATGACCCATATACAGGTCAACAATCCTACTTAATTGACATACAAAATCAATATACAGGTAAACAATCCTACTTAATTGCCATACAAAATCAATATATAGGTAAACAATCAACATAATGTCCATAAACATCCAAGGTAATAACATACAGGTAATCGGGTAATAAATATTGATAATACTAGTAATAGGTCATTTGGCCCTATGTATCATTACAAGGTTACATGTGGATTTGGGCCAGTATTGAAATCACAATGTCATTTGGAATTCCCATATATATGCAGCTTAAGCACATGCGGGGTAATGAGCTCTTTAATATCTTTCGCTATTTAGTAGATTTTCAAACCAATGTTATTTCATTAAAATAAGCCAAACCGCTGACATAAAGCAAGATTTTGCATGGTGACCCTTATGGACTAAATAAAAGAGCAATAAGATAGCATAAGGTCAAATGATCATCTGAGCCAGCATTAGGTCACAAAGGATCTTGTTTAAGAATACAAAGTCCTTTGGATTACGTTAATTTTGTTTCTAGTTACAATATACTTACACATTTCATCAAGACCCCGTGTTGCTTTCCAACCAAGTTCTTTCTCTGCTAACGCTGCATCGGCATAACAAGAAGCTACATCCCCAGCACGTCGTGGGCACTCTTTGTAAGGCACCTGGAGAGTATACAATGTTATATCTCATATATTTACTGAAAAAATTTCAATAATGCTTCTAGTATTGGAAAATAAGCATAATGACCTGTTTAAAAGAGAAATGAGAAAACGTCTTGACTATTTGAAATAAACAGATTAAAAATCCTTTAAATATCCCACACTAACCAAAACAAATAAAATTAAAACCTTTTGAAAATTATGTCTTCTCTGACTTTAGGTAGCAGTACACAGTTTCAAGGTGTGACCATGGGTGATTTTTTTGTTCATTAGATTATCCCATTATAATGGTTTTAATTAAAATTAGAAAAATAAATCCTTGCTAAAATTGGTCTTGTCATGTTAAAGTGGACAATGAGGGGTTTCCTTTTTTTCAGAATGATATTTTAGCTTTGTGTTGGAGATAACTATTTGGGCAGCCTCGAATCTGTCTACGCACCAAAAACCAGCTATACAGGAAGTGAATTTTTTATAGTTTTTACTTGTGGTTATGTTATGAAGGATTTCCGAGTTGGAATTTAGTTGGAATTTGCTGAAATGTAAGTGCTTTGTTACCATGACAGTGTTGTTGATTTTAAGATAGGTGTTTAGAAATAAATTTTTTCTATAAAGTTGTAGTATAAGGTTGTAATTAGCAGTATTTTTGCATTTTTAAATTTTTTTCAATAGGTAACCATGGCAATCACATGTCAGATATCAGAGGAAATTTTTTATTTACACAAATTTTATCTCTCTACTATTAATGTAATTGTTATGAAGCTTATAAATATATATACATGTAATGATGTATTTTTCATAACCAATCTGCTATACTTATACATCTCAAACATGACAAATAATTTCAGGAAAAATGCAAATTAACTGTTTCCTGCTACCTTAGACACTGTATGATTGATACACTGGTATGAACAAAGGTTACACGACTGTTAGTCAGTTTATTGATTTGTTTTTGTTAGCTGGGTTTATAGTCCTGTCAACAGCCAGTCATTTTGAGGCAAAGTCTCAAAGTAGTAGCTGGTTGCAACCTCAGTGAACAACATACAGGATGTCTATCATTCACGATCCACAACAATGAAAGTTCAGTGTCTAGCCCACAGAAAAAACCACTCCAGCACAGTAATCTGTTTCTCAACTTCCTGAGAAATATAAATTGCCCCTAAAAGGGATTGTCGAACCACAACCTCAGCTAGCACACCCTAAAACCAAGTCCACAGTACTAGAGTTGGTAAATAAAATGTACTGCATACTTACTGATTTACCAGAGGCTTTTTCAAAGGCTTTTACCATATCTAACACTGATAAGCCATTTCCTGTTCCTAGGTTATATAGCTGGAAATGAATACAATGTATAGTAAGTATTGTTATAACAATGGATTTTGCTAGTATACTTACTTCAAAATCAAATCACAACATTTAAAAAACTTTTCGTATTAAGCATATTACTATGAAAACATTCTTTTTGTGGGAGATTTATTTATTTATTTTTTTTTTGGTACTCGTAATTCACAAATTCATTTGTCCACTAACTATTTAAATAAGTATTGTAGATTTATGGAGGTATATCCATGAATGAAATGAAATAATTATTTCTTAAAAACCCACTAAAATTGAGTGCCATGAAAACGGATTTTATAGTGTTTTATACTGCTTATTAAATCCTTCTTATTCTAACATATATTACTTATAACTTTTCCCTATGTACTTAAAATCAATGAACATTTATTCACTTAACCTACTTCATACCTTACAACCACATTCTGTATTAAGTCTCCTCAGTGCTGCCACGTGTCCTAATGCCAAGTCCACAACATGAATGTAGTCTCGTACCCCTGATGACAAAACAGCAGAGTAAACTTATTTCAAATTAATAGCTATTTAATAGGGAAGACATTCAACAGCTTCGATGGTGTATGTTATATACAATATGTCAGGCCGAATTCTAAACAAATTGACACAATTAAGATTGACACGACTTCCTGCAGAAATTTCTTCTAAACACCGTGACTGGATATCATCTCTTTATGAAAAACCCCAGTAGACATAAGTAAATTGTAATCAATATGATACGGCAGATTGATTTAAGTCCACACTATGGACTAACAGGGTAAAATTTATGATAAACACGGTATTGGCTCTCATGGCCTTTAATTGTACTATTACTGATTTTCTTTTCCTATTTTTTTTTAAAACAATTTTTCATAAAAAGATAAAAATTGCTGTGTACATGTTACAAGTATTTCTTAATGACACATAAATGCTCTTTGCAATTAATTTTAACTTTACTTTTCACACTGATGCAACTTATGAAAGAAATCCACTGTGATTGGTGGCATCATACAGATATAAATTTTCTATCTGATGAAGGCTTATCTTTTAGTTCTTATCAAAAAATGGTGATACAAAAGCTGATCAACAAAGGCATAAATATCAAACCTGTTCCATCTGGTGTGTCATAGTCTGTACCATAAACACTCAACTCCTTCCTCTTGCCCACAGCTGTCTGTGCTATATAAGGCATGAGATTGTTTGGGGGCCCTTGTGGGTCTTCTCCAATAGTGCCAGACTTGTGGGCTCCCACAGGGTTGAAGTAACGCAGCAATATAATGTTCCATGTCTGAGCAGAGGAGGATAAACATCAGGAATTTAAGATGTTGGTAAAGACATTGAACAAAAGGATGCAATGTACCATATCTTTATGGTTTTATAACAAAATTGACATCTGAAAACCTGCTTAAAATTATTTATAAAAGGTAAAAGATATAAGTAAAAAAATAAAGTAATTAAGGTAATCATCAGACAACAGTATCAATATCATCATTGTTGGAAAGTAGTGTACATATCATTATATTTACTAATCAGTACATTGTCAATATCCCTACATGGGTGCCAATGTAACAAAGGTTTATTTCATCAAAGTCTCTTCTAGGATGTAAACCCAGAACCTGTGGCTCACAAGACTCACACTCGACTGTTTCAGCTAAAGAGACACTCTAAAAAACCTGCTTACTATAACAGTCTCACACTCAACTGTTTCAGCTAAAGATACACTCTAAAAAACATGCTTACTATAACAGTCTCACACTCAACTGTTTCAGCTAAAAAGACACTCTAAAAAACCTGCTTACTATGACAGTCTCACTCTCAACTGTTTCAGATAAAGTGACACTCTAAAAAACCTACTTACTATAACAGTCTCAGACTCAACTGTTTCAGCTAAAGAGACACTCTAATAACCTGCTTACTGTGAAAGTCTCACATTCAACTGTTTAAGCTAAAGAGACCCTCTAAAAAACCTGCTTACTATAACAGTGTCACACACTACTGATTCAGCTAAAGAGAAAATTTTCCCTAAATGCTAATTAGTCTCACACTCTGTAGATTCAGCTAAAGAGGAAATTCGTCTGAAATGGTATTTATATAGTGGCACATCTATTAAACCATGACAGCAAGTACCTCACATTTTGTCAGACATGATTATTTCAACACAGGATAGAAATATAATGATTGATTTAATGACTTACAGGGTCTGACTTTGAAAGGTCTCGAAGGATCTCTTCAATGAAGTACTTGGTTTTACCATATGGATTTGTACATCCACCGATAGGGTGTTTCTCATCAAGGGGAAGATACTGTGGTGTTCCATATACTGTTGCAGAACTTGAGAATATCAAATTCTTTATATTATTTTCTTTCATTACCTGAAAAAATAAAATGTAACTATAGAAATAAAGCCAAAGGTTAAGATATCACACAATTATGAATTGCAGAAGTGAAAGAAATTTACAGACAGAAGACCTATTAAAATTTAAATGCTCATGGCAAAAATACCATGGGGCTAAAGCATATTAGCAAATGTTAAAAAAAATAAAATGGAAAAATTTACAATCCTCCATTATAATCCATATTATTTAACCAAAATGTGATGTGATTGTGTAATTAGATTAAATTACAAGCAATGGTAGATATATGACCTTCACTTATATACTTTTCATCTGATACCTGTGTTGTAATTTTGAAAATTGGACAGTCTGCAAAGGCAGTGTATAGCAAATATCAACATATTAGTGTTTCTGTACAAATATGTTTCTGTGTCTTTTCAAAGATTTTTGCTGTTTCTTACCTCCAGGAGATTTATTGTCCCACCAACATTAGTTTTATAGTACAACAATGGGAGCTCACAAGATTCTCCTACAGCCTTCAGACCAGCAAAATGGATGACACTTGTGAATTTATGCTACATATGAAAGAGAATACAATATTAAATATCAAAGATCACTAATCACCAGATCAAACATTTACTTGAAAAAAAAACCATGCACATTTACTACCATGGGTTCATGCATATGTAACTTCAGAATTGCAAGCCTACAATTTTACATTGCTTTCTACTTAACTTATTTTTCTGCAAAACACAAATGACCAGGGTTGGCATTGTAGATCTAATTTCAGAATGTGGCATTTTGAAATCCTTAGAAATGTACTTTTCCAGAAGAAGAGTACCTGAAAGAGCAGCCTTGACATTTTCAACATGTTTGATGTACATAAAGAGTGAATACAACTCAGCAGTCCTTTCCAGCAGCACCAGTGATTCACACACTTGTATATGTGTATAAGCATTGGAGAAAGAAGCAATTTCAACAAATATGTATAACCTTAGGGATGGCACTGTATTGGTTCATTCAGACACTGTGACCTACTTTCTTGAAGAGATCCTGGAGTGCTGCCTTGTCCAGTAAGTCAACCTGGTAGGATGGAATCTTCTGACCAGTAATTGCCTCCACACGCTTCATACTCTCTGCATATAAAAATCACTATCAAGTTCGTATGTACAGTTAAAGATTCTATCACATTAATTATCATTTTTATTTGACTTATATAAAATCCATATTGTTGATATTATCTCTTTATTAAATGTTGTATCTCTTTGGTGATGTCACAATACCTATAACACCATGAAGTTATGTATGACCTTGTAATGTCACAATACATATGACACTATGAAGTTATGACCTTGTGATGTCACAATACCTATTACACCATGAAGTTATGACCTTGTGATATCACAAAACATATGACACCATGAAGTTATGACCTTTTGATGTCACAATACCTATTACACCATGAAGTTATGACCTTGTAATATCACAAAACATATGACACCATGAAGTTATGACCTTTTGATGTCACAATACCTATTACACCATGAAGTTATGACCTTGTGATATCACAAAACATATGACACCATGAAGTTATGACCTTGTGATGTCACAATACCTATTACACCATGAAGTTATAACCTTGTGATATCACAAAACATATGACACCATGAAGTTATGACCTTGTGATATCACAATACATATGACACCATGAAGTTATGACACCATGAAGTTATGACCTTGTAATATCACAATACATATGACACCATGAAGTTATGACCTTGTGATGTCACAATACATATGACACCATGAAGTTATGACCTGATGATGTCACAATGGAAAGGATGGGAATCTCCAGTGAATGAATTACACCTCCATTTGCTTACATTACATTGTATCAGTATACACCAGTAACAGTGATAAAATGATCTGATTTACACTTATCTTTCATACTAAAAATCACTGCAACCTTTTGTTAGAAGGGTCATGTTGTTTACATACTCAATTAGGTCTAGCTGCTATCTCTACACTTCAAAACTTTCCAGATTGATCACTCAAACTGTTCAGGAGACTCCTCTAAATATAGCACCTATGAATTCAATAGCTCATAACCAATTTTAAAATGAGGCATTTATTTTTGTTTGTGACAACAAAAGTAATATGCATTGACAGCATTTATTAATTGCAAATGTTCATTTTCTGTGAAATGTAATTTTCTAACAAATGATACACACTGCTTATAAAAGCTTAAATATTATTCGGTATACATATCTAAATCACTTGCATTTTCATCATCACAATTTTCCCCCATTTGGGCCCTCTGTACAATTCACAATTCCTTGTAAACTTTGATTTACTTGAGCACAGAATGTTTCCATATTCCTTCAGCCACAATTGTTCAAATTGACTCGGTCTCCAAACCCTTGGATTATCCTAGCACTGTTTGGCAACTTGTCACTCTGTTTACATTCCCTTTGTTATCTAAGTATAACTTAATTTATTTCTCAGCAAATCCCACTAAATTTTCCAATAAGGATATGTACCACATCTAGTAATGCACAATTTGATCATTATGGCATCCTTTATTTCTTTACTGCTAAAACTACCTGGTAATCAAGTTAAGGTCCTATGATTATATCTTTAAAATGAAAGAAATTTAAATGTACACTGTTAATTCACAAAAACTATCACTTATTGTTGCTAAGGAAAAATGTAAGCATTTACAATGAAGAGCTTTATATGCATCAAATACCTACCCATACTAGCATTGACAAGGTTATCCATAGCAACCACGGAATAGCCAGCAGCCACTAGCTCCACTACGGAGTGTGATCCTACGAACCCTGCTCCTCCCGTCACAAGTACACAACCAGCTGACATCTTGTAGTTTCTGACAATAAAAAAAATCAGAAAACATGCCTGTTGGAATAAAAAGGTGTCATCATCAAAAATGTTACCTTTACACTGTAATATAAAAAGATGCAAATAATCAGTTTTTGCATCCAACACTACTATGATGCTGTTCCAAGAAATATTTGAATGGAATATTTGATAATTTCAATGTTTAAATGCCCCATACAAAGTTATAGAAATTAACAAAGGGCAATAACTGAATATTTGGGGTATGAAACAAAAATTAGATTTTGCATAGGGAATTCTGATAAGAGCACTGGCTATATGTAGTTCAACTAGCTATAGGCAACATACAAACTTATATATATATATGTGTGTGTGTGTGGCAGGATCGACTTTTATTATAACGAGAATCGTATGGTCTCTGTAATTGTTAAATCTTGTTTATTAGTCTTGTGTATACTTAAGCAGTTAGTCTCGTTATTGCCATTCTATATAGTGTCATGTGGTCATCGGTCAGCTGAATTTTGTCTTACGTCACAGTCTTATGTTATTTAATTAGTTCTTTTGATTTCACTTTTTTTCGTAAGTTCCGGTCATTGTTTGACTGACCGACAGATGGATCAGACGTTTTAGTAACAGTAATCGTGAAATACCTGTGAACCAGTAAAGTCAGTTTATATTTATTTTAATATCCGCCACACTCCCATCAATTGTAATTGTATTTGATCATTAGTGTGGACAATATGATCTAGGTATTGTAAAGATCACGATTACACTTACCTGTATTTTCATATCTTTATGATGTTGTGTTATTTTAATTTAATCTATTTGGATCTGCTGGAATGTAATTTATATTAATCTATATTCTGATATTTTCATCAGAATTACAGTCTATTCATTTATACTCAAAAGTTAAATGTTTCATTTGTAACTCTGCAGACTTTACCTTTACAACAGTCAAAATCAAAATGTAGACAAACTTAGTGCCACACACAGGTAATTAGCCAGTTTATTTATACATAATGTATTCATCATAACTACAGATACTTTTGTACTTGTACTGTATCTATTATCTATTCTATATAGTGTATGTTTGTACTTACCTGGACATAGTTCATTATATTGTATCAAGTTATTCGTTAGTAGTCAATTGTATATTTCATTTAAATTATAGTGATGTTCCATACTAATATCTTTTAATCATATTTGTCTGAACGTTTATGCACAGTGTAGTTATATTGTTTTATTTTTTATATTCACAGAGTTCATACTCTTTCAGTACACACAGTAAACTATGGTCAGAACTCTCAAGGGGTCGCCTGTTTTTATTCGAACATGGCTTAGCCAACCTGTTACATATGGACAGATACAAAGGCCGATATACAGACAAACAAAATTACACAGAAGTTGATATACAGACAGAAGTTACACTATGGTTGATATTTAGACATGATACCTTACATGTCATGTGCTAATGTATGATTTACATACACCCTATTAGAAATGACTATGCTCTCCATAAAATTTATTTGAATATGTATTATAAATCACGTCAATAATTTCTTTGTTCTATTACATCGATAAAAATGTAACATTTAATTGAAGTTGAAGTTCTACAGCTTCTTAGGCACGATGAGGCCCCTTGCCTCCGGTTCAGAAATTTCTGTACCCGCCGTGTTGCCCATAGACAGATACACATTACTCTCTTTAAATATGTAAATGGCATCTTTTTATGGGTACATATGCAATGTGTGTATATCTAAATAAATCGATAAATGTGTTTAAAGGGAAAAGGACCGACTATATAATGTGCAGATAGCTGCATTAAGTGCTTAAATGGCCCTGGGTTTGTTTTTTTCCCTCCACATTCCGATACGTGTCACAGGACAGGCATTTGGTAACAGTATTCACGAAACAATTATTTGACGTGGAATTTTACGTCAATTAGCCCATAGCTTATCGTCCATGTAAATAGATATGTGTACATACATGTTAAACCCGTTTTTTGGTAAAGAAGGAAGTTAATTTGTGCACTTGTCAGAAGACAGCAATCCACGTTGATCGGCTTCAGTATACGAAACTACAATGAATGCACGTGAATTATCTTTGGTAAGATTCTTGTATCTCTGAATAAAATATTTTATTTCATTGGCTGTCAAGTCTGTTATTATTTTAATGTAGTTTTCGTATAGCAATCATTATTTTGATACATCCTACATAGAAATTCCTATTTTAATCATTTAAAGGAAAAATACCAAACTGTGGCTATAGGTAATTTTGTAAACAAACCATTCCGAGTCCTCGAAATGTTTCATTGCAACAAGCGTCTTTGCGCGTCAGATTATTTCGGATCGTGAAAGTTCAGTCGTAGCAGAGTCGTAGAAACGATAACCAGATCATTTAGTTAAGCAAGATGGGATGCGACGGCGGTACCATTCCCAGGCGAGATGAATTAGTGAGGGTTAAGAAGAAAGCAGAACAGGTATTCATATGTAATTGAGTCCTGCTTCCTACCCTTGATAAATAGGCCCAGAATTTCCTGGTATCTTTGGTTAGGAAATAGCTGACAATATTTCCCCTGGACAACTACACTCAGTTTTTCTTAATATCGTCCCACATATGGTAAAATACATAAATCCACAATAGGATGCGAGTTCCAGGTTTGTTTGTAGTCTGTGAGGGTAATAAAAAAGGTCATGGATACCAGGTTATAAATGTAATATCAGAAACTCAAATGTAATATTCGAAGCTCAATTATTTTTTTCTAAGGTTTCTTGAGAAATGGAGGGATATTTCTCATAATTCATATGTTGGTTCCCCTCAGTCCCTCATTGTAATTGGCCAAACAGAATGGCCGTCTTGGATTTTGACAGTATGTTTCCCAAACTCGTGTTTTGTTTCCTATAGTCCCTACAAACATAAATACCAATTTAATTTTCCGTCTGATCAGTTAAGCACAATGGTCAGCAGTTGGAAACCTTAGATTCGGACAGTGGATGTTTGTTTTCGCTATTTCCTGAAGGGTCCCCTCTGTCTCTAGTTATGTCCATTCAATTTTTAGCCTGACAGAGAAACAAAATGACTGGCATATGGCCACTTTAGATTTTGACAGTTTAAGATTGTTATTACTGAAAAAACTTTTCCCAGTCTTAATATAACCATTTCCCTTTGGTCCCAAGATGTGCTAGATCAATTTAGAGTCTGGTCAATTAAACAAATGGTGTAAAGGCTGCCATCTTGGATTTTGGCATTTGAAAATTGATATTGCACTTTTCATGAGGAGTAATGGAAGAATACTTCTCTTACTGAATATGTTGATTTCCCATGTCTTTAATTTTTACAAGTGAAATTCGTTATCACCCTTTCTTGAAGTATTGAAAAAGATATTTCCCAAACTTTACATATATGTTCCTCTAAGTCCATAGTTGTGCTTCAGTTTAGTTTCATGACTGACTACAAAAAATAGGATTTTATTACTGTTTGTGTCCAAATATTAGATAGAAACTTTTTAAATGATATGTTGGATAAATTTTTTGACTGTTCAGAGAACAAAATGTGTGAATGCAGCCATTTAAAGATGAAGTTGAAAATAATTGTAATGATAATACATTGGTTCCTGATGGAATCTAATTAGAGGGATGGGAAAGAATAGAAAAGAAGAAGAAAAGGTCACATTATGGTTGGTGCCAAGATCCTTGTGAGATTTAATTTACATCTCCTGTGAACATGATCCGCTGACTTCTCCAGTAAGCGTTAATAATTTCTTGATATATTTTTCCTCTTTTTAAGGGACAGCTCTTATTTCAGTTATTGCGTAAAAGATATAGGTGAACATTACAACTGTTAACTTGAGAACAGAAATTTGTCATTAATAACTCAAATAGATGCTCTTCAATAATAGATATGCATTATTTTGTTTCTGTTAAAATGTATGGAGATGTGATTGCTGTATACATGTATGCTACTTATGCATTGTCTGTACTGTACATGTATGTGTGCTTGTGTTTGCATTAAACATTGTTAACACTGCTGCTTTACCTTTTAAAATCCTTATAAATATGTTCAATTACTATATCAATTATTATCAATTACAATGCACTACAGTTACAATATATCTTCAAATTATGTATGGCAAACATTAATTTAAATTGTGTGATTCCTTAGATGGTATATCATATGGTCAGTTGACAATTGTTCTTATTGGAATTGAGATTATTATGAAAATAGTTGAATGCGTCTTTTATTCTTTATTTTTACAGAAAGATAAAGTTGCTGAGCTGGATGCTAAATGGAAACGCTGTGCAATATCACAAGAACCCCTGCGGCCACCAATCATGGCTTGTGAGCTTGGAAAGTAAGTTGTGTAACTGTTATTGTTAACATCATTGCCTTTTTGTATCTTATTTCATAGAATTCCGTTTATTTTAGAGAAAGCATCATCATAATCGGATTATTATAATTGACTTCAGTTAACTTGTTTAATAGTTGCCTACAGGGTAATCAATTTCGTAGAATATATATTCAAGCGCAATGAAAGCAATTGATATTTGAATCCTCTAGCTGTGATATGCTTCGAATAACCAGAACACATATTGCTTTGGAATGACATAGAAATATCAAATATCTTTTGATAATTGCTTTCTTTTTTTTTGTTTGTAATCAAATGATTTTTACTTCTCCTTCAGATTGTATAATAAAGAGTGTGTTTTGGAACTTCTGTTGGATCGGACCAAATTTGAATGTGCATCCAGCTTCTCTCATCTCCGAGGATTTAAGGTAATAAAGCAGGGCATGTAGCTGCCTTTACACAAATACACAGCTGTGTACCTTTCCTGACAAAACTATCTGCCATCTTATCCTAATTTCATTTCAGCTTTTGGGGATGCTTCACCCCCCACCTCCCTCTCCCTACTCACAAATGTACATACCCTACCAGGGCTTTACCGCTTGCACTCCTAATTCATTCCTTTCTGCATACACTTGGCTACACACTGCAGTGTTTATGACTAAATATTCAATATGTGAGATTTTGTATGTTTGCTTGCGAAAGTGTACTAGGATTGGCTTGATGTGGATGGTTGTTGTCTCGTTGGATAATTAACATAGTACTTCACTAAAGATGTTAGATCTATCTATTGATTTTTTAGGTGTTTGTCCATGGACCATAAAACACTTGAGTTACCTTCATATAAATTTAATGCCAATGTGATTGAATTGTGTATTTTCTTTATGTTTTATTAACATGTAGGACCTGAAAGAGCTGAATCTAACAGAAAATCCAGCATATGAGAAACCGAAGAATGAGAAGGGAGATGGCTACATCGATACAAATATTGCCCCGTATATCTGTCCTGTTGTGGGTATAGAGATGAATGGCAAACACAGGTGAATTTTAAAGGAATCTAGATCAGTCTGGTAACACGTTCCAGGAGCATTCTGAGAAATCTAGAAAATCAGGTTTATTATTTTACCTGTTAATTTTCATTTTAAAAAAAATCAGAATTTTGATCAACTAGTTGAAAAATAATGTTAACATTGTATGAGGGTTTGCTGAAAATCTACTATTGGCTAACTATAATGTTGTATTTAACCAAGGCATGATATTTTTATGCGTTTGGTTGTTATGATATCAAGTGTTTTTGTTTTTATTGTAGATTTTCAGTGTTGTGGAAATGTGGATGTGTTTTATCTGAGAGAGCCAATAAGGAGGTTAAAGGTCAGATTTGCCACAAGGTACGTACAATAGTAAAATGACAGCTTATTTGAAAACTAATGTTTGATCTCTATCTTTTGATTTTTTTACAACTCATATTAAATTTATGATTCATGTTGTGACAATATGTTTTGACTGTTGATGTAATGAGTTCTGCTTTGTTTCAGTGTGGGTCTCCCTACAGCCAGGAGGACATAGTCATACTAAATGGGACACACGATGAGGTTGATGATTTATACAAACGTATGGAGGCCAGGAGATTACAGGCAAAACTGGAAAAGGTCAGAGACAAACTTCCTAGTTTCCATATCATAATATAATGGTATTAGATGAGTATAGAATTCTTACTCTTTCAATGGTTATTATTGTCGACTGGTTTGTTAACAACAATGATTTCATGTTACCGATATATACTAGAAGTACACAGAAGAAAAACAACTGTACAGAGTTTCTTCAACGGGCCTGTATACTTTTTAAAACCTAAATCATCATTGAGCCAGGAAAATTCTATCAGGAGAGAGAAGTTGATCAATCTTGATAAAACTCTTAACTTCAGACATTTTGTTTTGATAGAAATCTAAAAAAGCGAAGAAACACAAAGCACCAGAGGCTGCTGCTGGATCAGCTAGCCAAGAGACAGGTACACTTTTAAATTTCTTTAATATTTTTCCATGAAAGAAAAGTTGTGATGAATTAACTTTATAATGTGACATGTATATTGATTTCATGGTCGATAACCATACATGTCATCCTCCAGACAGGAGACAAAATCTCCTGTATTTTCAACCCAAGTTTTGTGTGATGGCCCTAACTCCTGTTAACATAATTTATGAATTTAATCTGTTATAACTCATTTCGTATCTTAAATGTTGTAATTGGCATTTTGAAACCAATACATCTCTGCTTTATTTTTGTCACTGCCTAATATCTCCATGAAACCTTTTACATTCTGGTATATGGGTTTGTCTTGTTCTATATTGCTCTTCCTCAAAGACATCTTTAGAAATCACCGTTTCATTTTGTTTTGATTTTTCTGCTTTTACCGAATGATTGCTCTGGGTTTTTTTCTCTCACATTTTGCTCCTTCAAATTGAACTAAGGGTGGGGGATGGGTTAGTGTTGCCAATTACCTAATTAGCGTGTTAGCAGGTGTATTCATGTTTAATACCAGTAGACTATTTCTTTTTTTCTTCTGGGGCATAACTACTTAATAACTTGGCTTAGAGCGATCAGGCTGATTACAAATATCTTCAATAAATTATGATGAAAATGGTTGAAGGTATATTCTCATATTGTGAAGTTTGGCTTATATAAGATTTTGCCCTTCATTTAATGTTTTGACTGATTACTGAAACTGTCTTATTTAACACAGCATATAATTGGAATATGAAAAATCTGTTGTGTGGTTATAACTTTTTTGAATGATCTTTATTAACTTCTTGTTGAAACACAGAATCAGCATCTTCAAGTAAAATGTCCAGGATTGAGTCTGGGACATCACAGTACAGTTTAACTGATGGAAAGTCATCCCACACCTCCAAACTGACCAATGGAAACATGGATTACAAATCGAGACGTGTAAATGGAAAAACAGAAGAGGCAAAAAAAACAAAAACTGGTGGCAGTGTTCAAGATAACCCTAATGCTAGCAAAGTGTATAAGTCTTTGTTTACCACAAGTGACTTGGCTAAAAACCAACAAAGTGCACACTGGGTTACATTTAACCCACAATATAATTAGACACCAACACATAGATGGCAACTCTCTACTTTATATTCATGACAAATTCACAAACAAGGCAGATTTTATCAAGGAATCAAACTTAAAAAAATATTCTATCTTTAGAAGCATCATGATATAATTGGTTTTATTTTAGTTCATGAAAAGATTTACTTTTATTCATGAATATCTAAAACTAAACTAAAAAGATCTTGCCATTCCAGTGAATATGATGTAAAAGGTAATCAGCAATGCCTTACTGGTTTTTTGGGTACAGTATAAATGAAATATATCCATGCAATTTAATCAAGAAAAGATCATAGCAATTTTATGTACCAATCATCACAATTTTTTCTTTCATTTATTTTGTAAAAACAGAAAAAATAAAAGTTAACAATCTTTGATATTTGTTATTCTGTAGTCTTATTGCATGTACTCTCTTTCAGTTAAAGCATTAATTATTATTATTTCTGTGAATAAATATCTACAAGAAATAGATATTAATCCACAACCTGCTGAAGACACTTCATTCATTTAGGATGTACACAAGGCTTGGAAAGTGCCTTTCAAACCAATCAACTTTGATTTCAGGACTTTCAAAATGTGTATTTTATGGTATGGTGCAAGTTCAAATTGTATAGGAAGCTGTTAAGAAGGTTGAAAACTTTTCTATGATTGAGGTCAAAGGGAGTTACCTCATTTTACAGGTGTATCGTTCATAGTATCAAGTAAAATTGTGCAATAGGCCACTAACAAGCTAATTTTTTTTTTTTTTGTGGGGTAGGGGGTGGGGTGGGGTTCATGTGTCAACATCAAGGTCGTAGCAACAATAATTGCACACTGCCACTCTCAGGTGAAACCTTGGAAGAACTAGGTGAGATGTTATAAAAGAACAAGGCCTTAGACAGGAGGATGAAGTGAAAATCTCGACAAACACCTACCTTCTTTATCTCTACCTAATGTTATTTACCTGTTTAATAAAGACCATGATAACTAGAAAATTTTTGACCAATGGTTTGACGGGCTTTTCACGAATACACATTATTGTGCCTAAGGGTCAATCACTTCTGCAAACATGATAGCTAACTATTCAAGCAGTTCTATGTTACATATCTAGACTGTACAGCTTCAGATTATTTATTTGTGTGAGTGGATAAGAACTTTCTAAATGTGACCTCTTCCTACAACCGAAGGTTGACATTTGACACATTATTTTCTATTATCAATAACAATTGAAGGCAATATGTAAATAATCAAACATCATCACCTTGTACCTCTTAGTTACTGAAAAGAAACCATTTAAAAGATCTGAACAAAAATGACCAACGTGACCTTGAAAGCGGGACTATGTCTTTCATATTTTCAACATCAACAACAAGGACATCTTACATGTGAAATATAAAGGCTCTAGACTTTGTGGAACTTGAGAATTTTTTGAAGTTTGTTACGCAAGAAAACAATTTTCAGATTGAATCCATATTGAAACCAGAAGTTGAATTTTCAGACTTGATTTTATAAATCATTCAATAGCATTTGATCACAGTATGCAACTGACAAATTTGATGGCCATGTTCCGCATGGTTATTTAGAATAAACTAAAGATTTTGACATAATTTAATCCTGTGACCTTGAAAGTTGGCCAAGGTCATTTATATGATAAATCTTGATTGCCAGTGACTAGAGCTTATTAAATATGAAATATCAAGGCTCTTAGTCCTTGTTGAACAAGGGAAGAAGTCTTTAAAAGTTTGTGTTATCCCAAATAGCAATTTTCAAATTTGACTCCTATTGAGAACAGGATGTTGAACATTCAGACTTGATCCTGTATATACATTCAATAGCAATTGATCACAGCTTGTCATTGACAAATTTTCATCACCTTGTGGTTCTTGGTTTCTGAGAAAAAGCTATTTAAAGCTTGTGACATAATTGAATTCAGTGACCTTGAAAGTAGGTAAAGCTTGATGGTCAATGACCTGAAGATATTTAATATATAATATCTGGCCTCTAGGCATTGTAGAATTTCAGAAGTTTTTAAAAATTTGTTTCATAAAAATTCCAATTCAAACCCTAACCGGAAGCTGACATTTTAAAACAAAATGTTTCTTAAGAAATGTTATTTTTTTGTCTATATCTAAAGATGAATTCAATACATTCAGCAGTTAATTAAATCTTTCAATTGGCAATAAAATTGAGTATACCGTGGAGAAGGCCATTTTGTTTTTCTGATGAAGTTGATAATGTCAAGTAATGGTAACAATCATCTGGGAAAACATATCCACTAACAATTAAACAAAATGTAAGTAATATATATAGGTCTAAAACTAATTTTACTAATTTGTTGGGATTTTATAAAATCAAAGAGATTTTCAAAATGGCATCTATTGGTAATTAAAGCACCTTAAAATGCTTCCATTCATGAAGAGCATTTCATTCTACCATATCTGGGTCTTGAGAAGAAGATTTTTGAAATCTAAGTCAATTTGATCCCTTTGACCCTCAGGCCCCTGGGGGTTGGGGACTGTATAATTTACAATTTTTGTTCATCTTTGGCCAGGGAAAGTTTCTGCAAAATTTCATTGAAAATGGATAAGGGGTTTTCGGGAAGAAGTCAAAAGTGTTAAATTGCTTACAGACGCATGATGCCAGATGACTGATATTAGAATAGGTCACCACGAGACCTGGTCTCAACTGACCTAAAAATGTGAAAATGTCATTATGGATTATATCTACAAATAATATAATTGCACAAAATCTGTACCATCAACAATTTCAAGGTATGGCTATTTTAAAGCGGCCATATTGAATTTGCGACATACTGAAAAGCGTTACAAAGACATCTTCAGATACATACCTACAAAGTGCTAAATAGACTGTAAATTTGTCTCTTACCAATCAAAAGAGTTGGGACTCCACAAATTTCAGTAGAAGAATTATAACAACAAAACACAATAATGATAACAATGACAATAGTTTTTTTCACCACATGGTGAAAACCCCTAATTAATGGTCATCAAATTTGCCAATTAATGCAGACTAAAAACAATAAAATAGAGGTTTATGATGAGTAATGTATGAACTAGCATCGAAAGAAAACTGCTCATAACTACTGGTAGTCATTGCGGGCTACATCTTGTCTGAAAATGTTCAGAGATAGCTTCAAGTTGACAGCATAAAAATTGTGTATTGGTTATCAATATCAGTGATATCCTCAAATATCTCACTTAGTACTGGGTAAATGTTCAAACTAAATGACTGCAAGTTGCAATTGTATTCAAACTCTTGTTCCAAAAATAAATAACAAACACCAAATTTCAGGAACTAATCTTTTTGTTTTTATTTCCACAGACAAATAATAAAATAATGATTTATGAAGTGGGGGGGGGGGGATAGTACAACAGAAACACCTCGATATCTGAAGAATTCTAACCGCTATAGCCCCGGATTTACTGAATGTTACACACAATATTATCACAGTCTTCATTATCAATCTTTCTGACTACAGAAACTAGTTGCGTCATATATATATATATAAAATTCTTTTTTCACCAGGACTATGTTTAAGAAGATTTTTCTTCACAGACATGTAGAAATAATGCAGACTTTTAGATTTACTTAAATGTCAAAAAAATTATTTGTAGATTACACAAACAACAAAGTATTATATTCCGAGAGAAAAATGTACTGCTATTTCTTCCAACATCTATAACAAAAACGAGAGTTCTTGACAAAGTATTATGACACATAGAATTCAAAAAACAAAATACAAGAGAAAGCATTTACAAATGACCGGTATAGAATATTATGGATAAAAGTGTTATTTAATGACACAACAAAAATATGAATTAACCTTCACCCGTGTGTCAAGCTCTGAATGTCCCTGTAAATAAATTAAAAGTATTATTGTTGATAACAAATTTCTTTTCCCTGTTACATTCCAACTTGCTATACTGCACTAGTTTTATCAAACTTCCTTCTGCACAGTTCAACTTTACTAGGTCATTACAAGTATTTGTACTAGATTTCTAATTTACTTCCTAACACCATCAATTCTTGATTCTGTAAGATAAAATAACTGCAATGAAAAGAATTGCACAGGACTATTCAATATCATAACATGATGTGTCAGTTTTGAACTGCAAGCCGAAAAAAAATTAACAATGACTAGCAATGAAAGCAAAATTACCCACATCTACTTTATTATTTACAAATGGGTTAAAAATTCTGTACAAAAATTACTTCTGTATAAATTTGACATAAGAAATGCTATTTTTTCCTTTGATGACAAATAAAAGAACCCAAGAAATCAATTTCAAAATATTTTTTTGGTCAAACATTTCTTTAGAAATTGGTATCAAATACTTCAAACTTAAGTTGGTCATCAGTAAATTATATCAAAATGATTTAAATTGTGAAACGACCACAAAATTTGAAGAGAAATATGCAACAAAAACTAATCAAATTTTGTCTCTATATTACAATATAGCAACCATAACCAGCGTGGTGTGGCTTTGGATTTTTTTTAGTACTGTTTTTTCAAAAGTTTCCTTCTCCTGCTTCCTACAAACAGTCATAAATATCAAATTCATGTCTCTCCATTCACATCATTCATAGCTGGTTCATGGTATTGAGGATCCCAAATGATCATATTTTTATGATGTAGCTCCTTCCCTCACCCAAAGTCAAAATCTGGATTTGGATGGTTTAAGTTGAAGAGTAAGGAGGAGGAGGGGTCTGATCCACAGGCATCTTGATGGCCTCCTCATACTTTGGTGGAAGGAGCATCTGGAAGATACAATTCAAAAATATTTTCTGATGGTGATCTGCTGTAAGGAAAACTAGAAATTTCATTGTGGTCAACTGTGACAGAAAACATCTTTTATTGTTTTGTTTCTAATCTGTGAATCCGAATAAAGAGTCACAAAAATCATCCGCATTATGGTCCATTGGATCAGAGGAGTATTCAGATAAGGTAAGTGGTCATTTCAACTGCTGTAATAAGTAATTTCCTTAAAACACCTCAGAAGTTAACATCTGATTTTGCCAACAGAAAATCATTTATATTCCACATAATAGGTTTTGAACAATGACTATAGAATCAGATTGTTTGCTGGTTTTATAGCCTGGTTAACAACCAGGGTCATCTGAGGAAGTTTCCTTTTAGTAGATGGTGGCTATCTGAACTGAATATCATGCAGAAGACCAACCCATATCAGGGGCAATTGGGGTAAAGTGCTATGGCCAGGGACTATGACAGCACAAATTGCATGTTATCTCACTTACCTGAGAAATGCAAACTACCAAAGGTATGATTAAACAAAGTATTGCAGATATTTACCCAAGATTACATTAGTGGGATACTCTAACTAGTTGGCCATCACAGCCCCTACATTTGCAGGGTAAATCCCATAATCATGCAGTACTTGTATGTGTAGTAGTAAATATATATCAATCTCAGCAAAATGTTAATAACAATCAGAGTAAAATATCAGTCACCGCAAACATGGAGAAGTGTTTGTTAATGCTAGTTACAACAAAACTTCAGTTTCAAGTCACTGTAACCACAGCAAAATTCCACAAACTTAAGTCATCCTTGTCACAACAAAGTATTTATTTCCAATCACCTTTTTCAGTTTGTTACAGAAGGAGTTATTGAATTATCCTAAAAATTACAGGAAATCATTGGTGCCAATTTACCTTCAATCTGCTACAATGTCATAGCAGAATTTATCCATTTCATTGTTTATGTTAATAGTCATAAAGACATCTTCAAAGTATCACAGTTACATTGCTTAAAATTAGAGAACATATAATTTTGTAAAATATTACCATAGAAAAATACCAAATTTTTAAACTCAGTAACAAAGATTACAATTTTCAACAGAAATTTGACAACATAGTGATAAACATATTCCAAAAGTCCAAACTTTAATATCTTACATATGCAGCTTAAATAGTGCTAATTACAAACTATCAAATCTTGAATGAATGGACAAAAATAAATATCAATTTCAGATGATAAAGCTTAACCACCATGTTAGCTTTTAAGAAACTTGTACTGACAAAGAGCTGAAGTCTTACAAGAGTTTTAATACTTCAACCAGCTATTATAACAAAATAATTAATCATAAAGATTAAAATTTTGTGTAATTATTTGATGGATATCAAAATGATTAAACTTTCCATCCCTCATTCTTTGAACCCAAAAGTCCTCCTTCATTGATCAAAAGAGTAAAAGTTCCAAGCTGTAACTGTGATACTGGGATGATGCAGTTAAGGGTTTACAAGACAGACATGCAGCAAGCTTAGCACATGAGATGTCTACCTTGTTGCTTCCGCATACCTCAGTGTCAGGATCAATGGTGTACTCGCGCACTGAGGAACGGTGTACCAGTCTCATCTGCAGATACTTATAGCATGCCCACACCATGCTGATCAGGTAGGCCTGCATGGAAAATCAGTCAAGGTTATGTAAAAGTTATTGAACAATTGTGAATACCGATGACAATGTTTCAAGAGAGACAGAAATTCAAACAGACATCACAAAAATTACTGCCAGGTGCTTTCTTCTATCCCTGCAAATATAAGAAAAGATCTAGACTTCTGGCCATCATTTTTTGCAAACTTCTGCTGATAGCTATATTATGAAACCTCAAATCTGGAAAAGAATCATCATTAACAATTGCCTTTTAAATCAAAGTTACAATTAAGGGGGAATACAGAGCAAACCAAACCAATGTATCTATGGATGAGGGAAAAAAGCCTGATCGTTCCTGCTATATAAATATACATAATTAATCTATGATTGTTCCAGTTACTTATAGTTTTAGAACCGATTGCCACCAGTTATTTCCATACTCACCTTTAGAGAGAGGAAAAGGACAAGGAAGAGAAGACAGAGCAACATCAACCAATCTCCCTGGATGTTGGCTACATTTTCCAGACCAGGCATACATGACTAGCAAAACAAGAAATACAACACTTATAACTCTACTCATAACACAGAAGTAATCTCACAATTTTAGTGTTCTGTAGGTTTGTAACAAATTTTATCTTTGTTAAACACATTCTTTTACGACAAATTTTATTACAGAAGACAATGTATTTTACAGCAAGTTTCATCTAGTATATCTATAAGGTTATTTTCACCTCATAAAACAATATCTGTTCCCAGTGAATTATACTTCTGGGATCAACTTCAAACTTGAAACACTAATTACACTTTATACTCACCAATCCCTGTTCTTTGAGCCAGACTTTGAAGTTTGGAGCATATGAGAAATATCCAACCACAGTGAGACAGGACAGGCAGAAATCAAACACTTGCAGACAGAAAAATGGCAAGAGGTATCCTGGGCGGTTCTTAAATAATAAAACAATAAAAGCTATAGCAAAAGAATTTCAACATGGAAAACTCTCCCTGGTTTACAAAATAATAATAAAAATATGTTTAAGTTTTATTTTATTGAAAACATTATATTGTAGTCATATTTCACTATATTTGTATACACACAACTTTTCCTTCCTTGGGAAAAGAACAGTTACATGGCCATCAGATCTTCAATATTTAATGATTACAAGAAGGTATGCTTTATGTTTTAAAGTGATCATGAAGAAAATGATATGGTCAAAGGTACATTTCCTATGTTTATGAGTAAAAATGCTCACTCTGATTGTACCATACAGCAGGAAGAGAGTAACAGTCAGTGTACATAGTGTAATGGCAAATCCCACACATAGATCCTCTGTAACAAAGCAAGTGACTTGATTATCTCGACACCAAAACACTTTCTAGTGCAGGATATGTTTATGAGTACTAATTATACAAGTTTTACTACTAACTCGTCTAAGATAAATTACCTTAAAGGCACTTGGGTAAACACAAAGCACATTTCATACACTGTTAAGTTGTAGATAATAAAAACACAAAACAGTTCTCTAACATAATGAAATATATGATAAAGCATTAGAAAATGTCAGAAGAGTAACACAGCAGATGTCAAGTAGAAACATTTACCAATATACCTTTAAGTACAATACTTGGACTGATCATTATTTAACTGCTGAAATAATTTTGAAGATCAAATACACAGAAGAAATGGCACTAGACCACTGCTTGCTATATATGTGAATTACTTGTATGATACACACTGGTTGCATGCCTACCCTTGGTCATCCGGTTGATGTAAGGATCTACCTCAGCCACTTTGAAGCCACTGCCATTGTCAAACGCCACCAACTCATAATCTTGCTGGTTTTGAATCCCAGTGTCACACTTCTGCAGTGTAGGCCTCAAGACATCTGGGTTGACTGATGAGTATACCAGGAAAGTGACCACCATCAAATTTGCTAGCTGTAAAACACGAGGATTAGTCAATTATACATGGAAATATTGCTGAAATGTCTCTATGTACATGTATATTTATATAAATTTAACATGAACACACCATTGTTTTTTGTCTTTGCCTCACATATAGTCTTCAAGAAAGGTTTGGAATATTTTCCAAACCAATTGGTAATTAATTGTTCTCGTCTATTAATGTAAGACTATGCTTGACATTATAGGACAAAATGTTCAAAAAGTTTAGTAGCAAATTCAAACAAGTTTCTATGTACACTAAGAAATACTTACAGGTAAGTAAAAAAGTTTAGATTTATAACTAATGTTATATGTGTGGTAATGAAAATCCACACCTCCAGATAAACATTTTTCACTTTGACTTCCAGCCCATATTTATCATTTTAACATGCCATGAGAGTAAAAACAAAAGGTATCTTGTCCTGGATCCCTACCACTTGGATGAGTAACCACTCCTCCTCAGGTGGACACTCAATATCTAGCTACTACTTGGCTAGTTCGAATCATTCTGACATTTAAAGATTCATTAGTTAAAATCAGTAATGAGTCATCAAAAGTGATAATTTGAAAAACACCACTATTCAAATATAAGATGTCCATGTTTGGATTTTCGTAGCCAAATCATTTGAAGAAAATGTGGCTTATTATTCATGGTTGATTTTTATTCATTTAGCAGACGACAACAAAACACTGGCATCCCAGGATGGATTGATTAGTTTTTTCATCATATCTGGGAGTATCTTTGACATGTGAAAATGTGTATTAAGAAAAAAAATACATAAATTTGCTAATGAAATATCAACACGGAATATCTTATGGTGAATGGCTTCATTCACTATTATTTTTATTCTTTTTGATATGTTACAGCGACCCAAATCATCCTGGTACGTGGTCAATAGTGCATGTAATACGCCTCAACTAGATGGCTGTTTTGAATTACATAACTGTCTGGAGCCACTGTCCAGACGATATGTAATTATGGAGTTTGTGTGATGTTAATTGTAACATACCCCTATATCATGATATACTATTAGTTAAACCTGTCTATAACAGTCACACATGGTAGCAGAGTCCATATAAGAAGTACAATTACATGGCTTTTCTCAACATTAGGACCAGAACCATTGGACTTAATATTTCATATTTGGGCCGTATTTTCAAACTGTAACTTTTTAAGTCCGTGGTTTGAGCAGAACGTCTCGTATATATCTTCCTGGTTTTATTAAAACACCATCCATTCGCTTCTATCGCGTAAATACTTTTCTTCAAATGTGTCTAGAGGTAGATGAACGAAAATGTTATCAAGTATTTGATCTGGCGTATTATAAAGCAAAATCAGGATATTCCGCAGTGACAATGACTAATATTATGCCTATCTTTTACGTGTAAATTTCGGGTTTCGTCATCACGACCATTATGATTGTCAACACAATGACGATCTCAGATTTCGTCGGTTAAGTTTGCCCTTTGACTTACCAAATGCCAGACACCAAGAAGGACAGTTCCAGTCCGAACATGACAACACAGACAACAGCGAAAAGAGCTGCTGTCCCTGTTGTCAAATGTCAATCTCATTGTTTTCTTTCAGGTAGGTTTCGTTTCTCTTCAATTTCTGTAAAATAGTTCGTCGGTCAAATTACTGCGCTATCATGCGAATTAGTAATTTTCATTTTTTTACACCAAATATTATTAATAATCACCAGAACTTACCATTATTTATGTTTAAATATAAAAAAGTACGATAAAGACTACTTAGAGACTGGTTATATCAAATAAAGTATCATATACCACGGACTACTTTCTATATTGTGTGACATCACAGACGATACATAAAGAGCAGTAAGTCGGCGCTTAAGGTGTCATCCCATAGTTTTAGAATATTTGTTCACGAGCTAGAATACAATATAGGTGATGTAGGTATGCTGCATATTTCCTTCCATTTCGAAATGCTTGCGATTCCGAATTCGCCTTCGAATACAGTCTAGACAGAGATGTGCATTTTTCACCCTTGGTGTAATATCAAGAGAGAGACAGAGTGATTTGTATAGATGATACTAAGAAATTCGATAGGTATGAATACAGAGGAATAAGAAACTGCCTCTATCTCTTTGTAAGACTATAGCAAAGAAATTCGAGTTATCAAGCCTTGCTGTGTTTATAATCCAGTTTTCTCAAAAAGTACATAATTGATTAAAAGAAAAATAAGCAGTAGTAGAAAGCCTAGCAATTTGATTTGAAGACAAATAATTTCTGTCAACTTTTGATATTTTGAAAAAAAACAAAATGCATGTTTAAGCTGTTTACAACAGAAATACCACCTTATATTGTATACCTCTTCCAGTTCAAAATATGATTTCAGGTAGACAGCATTAAAAAGCTTGATTTTCTAATTGTCTAATGTCAGTTTCATTTACTTATTAATAACATTGCTTAAAAGGATAAACGGAATTTGTGTTTTAAAAACACTTAAGAGAAGAGATGTCTCTCAAGTTAAAATTGTGTTTTAAAAAGTGGAAATCAACATTTACTTAGTGGATTGTGTGTTTCAAAAGTATAATTGGGAAATGTAAAAGCATAAAATCATGACGGAAGAGAAAATTAATGAAAAATGTGACAGAAAAGATAAAATCAGTCTGTGAATACAGTAAAACGAGCAAATTAGTGGGAACTGAGTGAAAATGATAGAGGAAAAGTAAAAAAACAACAACAACAAAAAACCAAATAGAAAAAATATCGCAAAACCAGAAAAAATACAAAATAAAATAACGAATGAAAAAAATGTGTTAAAATGAGCGTAAAAAATGAAAACACTGAAAACGGTGATATAGCAGTCAATCAAAGTGAAATAAGCCTATTAAGTGAAATAAGTATTCTAAGCGAAAAAAATATAAACAAAATGGAGCAGAAATAAGCATGTAGCTTATATTAATCCATCTCTCTCAATATGTCAGCTGAAGTATTCAGCATTGCGGTCGAATTACTAACAAAATGTTGGCTTTAGTATTCAGTTTAGTGGTCGAATTACAAACACTATTAAAAGTAAAGACCAAACGTATCCACTGTCTAAATAAATTAGTATTTCATATAGCTGTTTCTCTGGTTACATTCTCTGGTTAATGATATATCTGAGTATACCAGGTATATATATCAAATATATCACATGCTCTATCAATAATGTATGTATATATATACATATATAATGCAGTAAATGCTGCTGTGTAAAGGTTTCGTTTACGTTCAATATCTTTTAGTTGTTCAAGTGGATGATATAAAGATCTTGATCTTACAGGGATTCTTTTTTCCGTGTACAATAGGAATTTGGACGTGTTTGCTACTCGTTAGTATGCCTGATGTTCTGTTGTTGTATACTTTGTTCTCAATTAAGAACAGGATATTACTTATTTGACTTGATCAAGGTTTACACGAAGTGTGTCATTGATGAAACAAAACGCTCACTCCTCCTTGCCGTCTCATATTTCGTCAAAATGGATTATCCTAGTTTTCCGTTGATGTTAGTATGCTAAATATTCCTTATCTCATGAAGTTAAGACAGAAAGTAATGAATATTGATTTTTACTTAAGTGTTTTAAAACATAATTTTCACTTAAGTAACATAATTTTCTATCTAAGTATTTTAAGACACAATTTCTCTTAAGTAAATAACGGTTTCAACTACAAATAGTGTTATAACACACTATTTCCACTTAAGTAAATATTGATTTCTAATTAAGTATTGATTTCCACTTAAGTGTTTATCACATAATTTTCCCTTTTAAAAGTAACATCGTTTCTACTTAAGTGTTTTAAACACTAATTTCTCTTCAATATTGATTTCTAATTAAGTGTTTTAAAATACAAATTCCACACAAGCAGATATGTCTCCGACTCAAGTAAATATTGATTGTTTTCTTAATCGTTTTAAAACACAATCCTCCTTCAGTGTTTTATATGGAAGCCTATAGAAGCGTTCACATAAAAATTGATTTCAAAACATTACTTTCATTTACTGGTAGACAATATCCTAAAGTTGAACATATGAACATTTTAAAATCTGTGCAAGCGGAAATATAACACAATCCATTATCTGTTACTGAAAAACTGAAAAAAATGACCACAAGAAGATAATACGCACATTCTGATTAGTTGAGATAAATTGATAGGACATCACTCAATGGCCAACCAATCAGCGGGTTTCATTTCGGGCATGTTATCAGAGACGAATATATATGTTTCTGATGTAATGTACACGATGTCTTTTATTTTATACCTACCATTTTCCATTCTACTGTATACTGTCTAGAGCCTTCACGGACAATCGACATATTAACAACTGAAGGCTTGATTCTTGTCGTTGAACAATCATTTCATTGGATAATGCATCGTCAGTGGGAGAGTCCAAACCAAAAACGTATAACAGACATGAAATTGACATCATTTGTGTTGGGTTTCAAAATGATAAATGCTAATCAAATTTGAGTCTGTTTGTAATCTTAAAACTCATTAACACCGTATTTAATTGGGGGAAACTCAGGCGAATATTGCTGCAGGCGAAACATAACAGAATTTGTTAATCAGTTTGTAATGCTAATTTGTCACAGAAGACGACTGAGGATCTAGCCAGTTTATTTTGGTTTTGGTACAGTAGTACGGGGATTTATAGAGGATATTGGAATACATCGATGTAAAGCTCTTTTGATTAAGTAACAGGAGTTGCAATAAAATTCCGTTAAACTGAAATCATAGTGCTATCATCTCTATGTACTAATTACTACTGGATAATTAATTGAAAGTCTGAATCTTGTGAAACCATATAGTAGTTCTTGAATATGTTATGCTTAGTCTTTTGAAGTTCAGTATAACCATTCTCAGTCCCTATTGGCTGTCAAGTTTAAATATTGCTCTAGATCTACCACCACCCGTTATCGACATAGTGAAACAAAAGGAAGAACAGGACATTATCAAAACGTTGCACACATGACTGATCAGATTCCCTAAAATCCTGATCATGAATCCTGCACCACAATAAAAATAAAAAAAAAAAAAAATAGCAACAATGGTGGTCTCGAGAAACATATAAAAGCAAAACTCCAGGTCATGGCTACCAAAGTTTAAAATCGATTTCGATACAAAAAGTATGTACTTCTAGTTTCACTTCTTTGATACCGACCAAAGGTCAAAGTAATGAGTAGATCTAAGTACTAAGATTTCAAATAAATTGTCAAAGCACAGCTAGGTACTTACGGAGACCTACATATGAAATTCGAGAATGTTTCATCAAGTACTCCTCCAGAAACAGACATAACAAATTCTGACCGTCAGAAAACAAGATGGCCTTCTATCAGTTACTTTGTATTTACGACCTGTCCCAAAATGAATTCGCACACCTTGAGGATAAGGGGAATGTACATGTCACGTATAAGAATGCTCCATCCAGTACTTTTATAGTGATAACAACGGATTACAGATAAAACCCAATATAACTCCTGTCAGCCTTGTTAGTTTGTTTTATATTTTTTTCCCGATCAGTCAATGGACTTTGTACAACTAAGGACCAAAGCAGACCCTCAAAAGAAATTTGACGGGCTCATGGCAATTCAAATAGTTCATCTTATGGTCACGGTTTATTAACAGATATTGTTCACGTATATACGTTTTAAAGGTACCCATACTCGAAAAAAAAGCTAAGAAAAATCAAAGGATATGATTGCAGCATTATTGTACACCTTGATCCATTAGTAGAAGAAAAACTATAAAGAATAAAACAAGACTGGAACTGCTATAAAATTGGTTCAACACGGTGATTCTAGACGCATAAAATCCGATCAAAAACCTTTACAACACACACTAGTAACATTCTTCATAATAGTAAATTTAACATGGTAAAAGTTGGCGGCAATCATTGTTTGATCTTTATTTGTTCTTTGAAATTTGGATATCTTTCCTTCTTTTTTCTTGGCTCCTGTTTTTGCTCTTAATGATATGAAATCTAAATATTCCTCTGCAGAAAAAGCGATAATGAATTTTAACGGTCAAATCCAAGATGGATGCCTGTCAGCATTCTTTTTCTTGATCAGTCCCGAAACCAAACGGACACAACTAAGGACTAAGGAGAACCTACACACGAATTCGGAGAGATCCGTGCAGTACTCGCAAAGAAATAACAGTAAAAAATGTTGTCAAAATCCAAGATGGCTGCTTCTTAGCCATTTTGTTTCTCCGATCAGTCCCTGAATCAAACAGGTACAACAAGGGAGGAAGGCAACCTACATATGAAATTTGAGAAAGATCCATGCAGTACGTCTCGAGAAATATTATTAACAACAAGAATTCCACTGAAGTGGATGTGTCGTCTGCCCAGTAAGGTTTCTAGAGATGAGTTTTATGGAACAACAGCCAAAGATATCAATGTTATTTATTCCATTGATATAATTTATCCATGTGTTTGAGATCTGATGAGTAAACATGCAGATTAGATGTATAGTGTTGAAGAGAACTGAATCCCGCGGATATATTTTCATGATAAATACAACATAAAGTTTTTTTTAAATTCTATTTTCTTTTAAAGATTTTTTTATCTCTAGTAACAGTGACCTTGTCCTTCGA